TACACAAAGCTGAGGTAAAAAATTCGTACAAAGTCCGATTTTAGAACGGAACGATTTTTCCTTTCCTGTTGTAGTATGATTCCACGTGAAATTAATACATCCAGTTGTAAATCATTGTCTTTTTTAGAACTTAGTCCTTAGATTTCGACTGAAAAATAAATATAACACATCGCAGATACCTAACATATAAAATTGTCTTGAAATGATTGCAAAACATAAGGTGTTATATTTTGTTCTTCAAATGTAACATTGTATTAGGAAAGTCCATTATAGTTTGACGTTTTACGATGCATTTGACATAATTGCGTGAACATTACAAAAACAGCACAAATTTGAATAAAAACAAAAGAAACCACAATCCGAGACCAGGTGCTTTGGAGGGATTAGCATTTCCTTTCCACTATGAAACGCCTGTCGTGAAGTTCTCCACACCTCAAAGCCATAAAGAGACCAGAACACCAAAATGACGAAGTACCAGCAAGTAGTTGGCACACAGATTTCATATGAATCCATCAGCTCTTGGTGGCTGTATACGTTGAAGTGTTCACTACATTATCATTACTATAGTTCCCCCTTCTCTGAATCAATATCATATTTATGATGGAACTATCATAGTAGATGGTTTTCCTACTTTCATGAGATAAATATTTTTTTCGGTGGCAAGCAAATTTTTCTTCTGTTGACATAATAAACTATTTGTTCTTATTGTCGTTTCATTTCGATACTAAGGTTTATGATTTGAATGAACTGTTTTATAACCAATTTATTGCCTTCCATGACAAAAGTGTGTCTTATGTTAATATCCATTTACCGTCCATTTTCTGCAAGATGTGTGCTTAATGTCATAAAACCAATTTCGTAGTTTTATCGTCAATATTGATGTACAGTATGCAAACGATCAATCGTTTTTGAAAAGACTTTATTTAGAATATTTTTATTCTGGTAAGTCCCAATATCCAAAACTAACACGTACTATGATATCTGGATTTTTTTTTAATTATAATTTGTTGGTCCACTGAATTAATCTTTCAGTCAGTTGTCAGTTACTCCAATTACTCATTTGACCTGCTCAATACATAATTGTTGTACCGTTTGTCTTATTTTGTTTTATCTGTGTAAGTAAGATCTTTATTGTGTTGATATTCTGTGACGGCTTTTAATGTACGTTTTATAAGTGTGTTTGTTTCCGTTGCAATTTTGTTTTAGGGGAGGGTTGATATCTTTCAAAATAGTTTAACCCCGCAACATTTTGTCCATATCCACGATCTATACTAAATAGTTGATGTTGTTTTTCTTATGGGTGTTTATGCATAATTGATAAAAGATTGTCTTTTACGGTTATTGTTTTGACCGGATTGTAGTTTTACTTTGTTTTACCTTTCTTTTTATACATAGGTATTATTGAAAATAATAAAAAAAACCAAACTGTCCTTGGTTAGCGGATGTTGAGCGTTTACAGACATGGCAAAACCCGTCACTTTCTTTTGTGCCTAATCAGAGTACAGAACATAAACTCCAGTGGTTGTCGTTGGTTGCTGCCTGCAATATTTACTTTCTCTGTATATATTCTCTGTAAACCATGTTTTTTTAAAAATAGAATATATTTTTGATGAAAAGAAGTCTGTCGTCATTCACATATGCATCATCAAAAAACGTTTGTAAATTTACTATCTAATCTATTTTTTTGCAATGGCAATTCAAAATATTACAATTATCGATCATGTTTTGATTCCCATACTGCTTGTTAAGCATGTGAATGATTCACCCGAGAAACTCTCGAATCACTGTGTTTTCAGGATGTATAATTAATCAGTAGATAATGTTACTTATTGACGTTATAGAAAAAAAAAACAGTAGCTCCATTGAGAAATTAGAATATCTACGTTTTAATGGATAATCAATTACAAAGTATGTAATTTTTACGACTGGCAGACATACATCATTTATGTTCAATTCTTGATGCAACTTCTCGACTCAATATAAAAGCTACTTGCACACCTGTTACCGTTCATAGCAAATACAGAAAAAAGTCTTTGAATTGATATACACAATGAATTTAACATTGATTGAACAAAACATGGAATGTAGATCACAGTGTATCGTTCATAATTTAAACTCTGGTAAAAAATGGCTTATTAAATTCTGAAAATACTATGGGTGCCATATGTGGTGGAGCAGGATCTGCTTTCCCTTCCAGAGCACCTGAGATCACCCTAGTTTTTGGTGGGGTTCTCAGTTGTCAGTTTTCTATGTTGTGTTTTGTGTACTGTTATTGTCTGTTTGTGTTTTTCTTTATTAGCCATGGTGTTGTAAGTTCATTTTCGACTTATGAGTTTTTATGTTCCTTTGGTATCTTTCTGGTATCTCTTTTTCTGATGGAAAATTGAGTACAAAAGTATTGCTTGGTCCATAGAATAATCCAGTTGTTATCCTAAAAAATAAAAATGCCAATTCCAATTTCCGAGAGAGGAAGATGAGACACTAAATCATAAGAAGATACTTAACTTCTATTGAAGTCATAGTAACAGCTGTTACAGTACTTTATATATCTTTTCTTTGTCAGCTAAACACACGACTAAGAATGATAGTGGTCCTCATTGGAGTTTTGTTGTGCTTCAATTGAATGATTATATTTCTGGATGTTAACGTTTTAGTGATCGACATAATGTTTATGAAAAAAGTGGAGTCAACTTCTTAAGTTTGACATTACTTTAACATATCGATCTACATGACTTCAGACATAAGTTTGCTTAAACTTCAAAAGTCGAGAAAACGGAAAACTCGAGAATCCAACTTTGTTAAATGTAAAACAATTTCCAACGTATACAACTATTTTGATTTAGGGAGGGATAAATCGTACGTTACAAAAACACACTCTGATTCATACAAACAAATTTCTGAAAACGACATCATAATGATACTGGATTTCTTGATTAACAACATATTTGTTACGCTTGAAGGACTTGTTTTTCAACATGCAACCGGCATTATCTCGGAATCCTACTGTGCTCCTTTTTTGGCCGACTTGTCCCTTTGTTCATACGAGACAGGAAAAATAAAAATAAGTTAGCATTATCCTTTAACTTCACGTTCCGCTATGTAGATGATATCCTCTCACTAAATTAATTCAAAGTATGGTGATTATCTTGAACACATTTATCCCATCAAAATTGAAATAAATAATAATACAGATACAGTTAAGTCTGCATCATAAATTGACTTACATATAGCAATTGACAATGAAAGTGGACTGAAAACAAAACTGCACGACAAAAGAAATAATTTCAGCTTCCCAAATTGTGAACTTTCCATTTTTATGTAATAACATTCCACCAGCGCCTACATATGGAGTAAATAACTCCGGTTTGGTACGAAATTCAAAAGCTTGAATTTCCTATCATGATTTCCTTGATTTAGGAAGCTATTTAACCAAGGGTTCCAAGTGGTGAAGTTGAAGTCATCGCTTCAAAAATTTTTACTTACGTCATTACGAATTTGTTGACCGTTATGGAATATCTGTTTCACAAATGACGATTAATATGTCCCAATTGTCCTTACCACAATCCCGTCCTCTTTTACTCAAAAGTGAAATTACCGAATTAGTACTTACACGAGCAACAAGACAGGTGCCACATATGGAGCAGGAACTACCTACCCATCCTGATCTACCCGAGTATTTTTGGGGTTTCGTGTTGTTCCGTCTTTAGTTTTCTATGTTGTGTTTTGCAGACTGTTTTTTCGTATTATGCCATGTCGTTGTCAGTTTGTCATCGACTTATGAATTTGAATATCCCTTTTCCTAAAAAGTTCATCGGAAGATACCAAGCCCTTATGATAAATATTCCGTATCAACTTCACAAATAATACATGATGGTCTTGATGTATAGATTCTAGGTACTGACGTTGTTATCATCTTAATTACGTGTTATAGTGTTGTATATTTGTTTTTGTAAATTATCAACGTTACTGTCTGGTCCATTTTTGACTTGATCGGGTAATCGAGTTTTTCTACTTAGATGGGAATCTAAGATACCAATTCCTTGTCTTATGCCAGGGAAAAAAACATAATTTGTGAATAACAACATTAATTTCAACATTAAAATCACCTAATATGATATCATGCTGGACTTTTTGATCGACAACATATTTATTGAGTATGGTTGATTGATATTTAAACATACAGTTGGTATTCCAATGGGTACTAATTGTGCATCCTCTCTGGTCTTTTTGTTTTTGTTCTCACATGAAGCAGAATTCACGTAGAACCCTCTCAAAGACAAAAAGATAAAAACATCTTGCAAGGTTCTTTCATTTCACTTTCAGATACTAATATATTGAAGATGTCCCTGGAACCTGAGATTAAGGATACAACCGACACTAGAAGGTCTGCTTCGTATCTTGATTTCGTCCTCGAATTTGGCTAAGATTGACGGCTTCAATCTAGAAATTATGACTTACGTGATAATTTCTACTTTTTAAATGTCAACGTTCCATTTCTCTGCCACATGGCATGAGGTTTACATATCCCAACTAATACGTTTCGCTCGTGCATGTTCATACTATACAAACATCATTAACAGTGGCGGGCTCCTTACACAAAAACTGCTTAAACACAGTTATGAAGAAAAACGACCGAAATCGACACTTCGTAAGTTTTACGGTCACCATTACAAATCGGTTGACCTATACGATATGTCTGTGTCTCCACCTACTAGCGACATATTTTCGCGGGCGGTCTAAGATCTGTAATGTTACCAATTGTGAAATTCTTACCAAGTGTTAATTCGTATGGCAAGTGATGCATGCATAACAGAAGACAGTAACCATCTCGACCCACCCAGTATCGCTTCTTTTGAAGTCTACGCGATTCCCTGAGTTTTTGTTGTTACCTTGATTTGTCTCTTTTTTATCTATTTTTGAGATTTTAACATCAGTAAACTACCGTTGTCTTAATTTATAGAACACTATAATATGAACTTAAATCCTCTGAAATATCTCCCTAATAAAACAAAGACTTTAATTATTTTGATAGCATAAACAAATATTTTTTAGGCAAAATGATATTATTTAAAAAGATGATTAAAGTGGTAAATCAATTTCATGCAAATATACTGAATTTCTTTGTTAAAAGTTTTGAAAATTAACATTAATTTATAGCGACAATACAGGCATTTCAACAACATTTTCATAACTTCAAAAAGGCATTTAAAATGGTAAAAATAAAAACCGTCTGCATCAAATATATCAAAGGGCCGTTCACATTGTAAACTCCTGTTCTCTTCTTTAAAGGTGATTTTGAATATAACAAAGGCATCCAGTTTTCTGGGTTAATTTACATCTTTTTCTGATAATTACCATAAACATAGAGAACAATAACATTATTAGTAAAAAAAAACTGGTTAGATCTGACAAACATCAATTTTGAAAATCAAAATGTTTAAAATTGGAAAAATCGCAAAATTTCAATTTAATTTTTTTTTGTCGATTCAGTTTGCCTCAACACACGCTTACAAAACTTTAACGTGGTACAATATCAAAGATGAAGACTGCCTTTTTTGTGACTCACATTATAAAAATGTATACCAAACCAACGAACATCGGTAAAAAGTTTCAATTGGAATTCCTCGCAAAAGAATAATAAAAAAATGGCAGTTGCAATTATTTACCCCAGTGCTACCTAAAACAATATTTTGATAACATTATAGAAAGTTTAAGGCCTTCAAAATGTCACATTTAACTAAATTATATTAACTATACAACAACACATATTTTGTTAGGGCAAGCGTTTGTGTAAATATGCCTTTGTCTGCTTAGCGATATATAATATATATGATAGGTAAGTCTTGCATCTAATTGCACTTTTTCAAGGAATCTCTCTATTTTTTTCTTCTTCTGCCATCCAAAGTTTTGGAAACTCAGGATGATTTTGTTCTACACATTTTGTTCCTGGATTGTCTATACTTGGGCTCCATGTTCCATTTACACATGTTGCGCCACTGGGACCTTTTCTGATAAAACCTGGATCACAGATAAATAAAAGTCTCGTTCCATGCCTTATGGTTGTTATGTACTTTTGAAATTGAAACTTTCCGTTGTTGACTCTTTTATAAATTTTTCCATTTTTCAGTGGTGCCGCAACCGCTGGATTTGGACAATAAACTGAAATATATGAAGAAAAGTATAAAATCACGCTATTTTTGAGTGTCGTCTTTCAGGGGAAAAATGACATTGTTTTGTCCTTGAGAGAGTTTGGCGATGATGACAGATGTATAGTACGTCTGTCATATTCATTCACTTTTTCTATTCTTGGGTCTATTTATGTTGTATAGATACTTATTATCAAAAGATTTAATTTGATGTTTAGATTTCTGTTGGTTTTTTGTTTTTGTTTTAATATTCTTCCAATAATCATGTAGTAAATTCTCAAAACAAATATGAAAATGGACAGCAATTTTGTAAAGCATAAAATATCATTTAAATGTTACTGAACGAATGTAAGATTTAAATGATAAGCATAAATTGCCTAAACGATTTCATTTTAAACAGTATTTTTTTTCTTGGCATATATTTTGGACAGCAAACTCTTTTGAAAAAAACAAAATTGTGTAAGATGATCTAAATTATGAAACTTATGACACCTGACGAACAATAATGAAATTTTTAGTGGTAGTTGGCATGAAGATTCCCATTAAGGTATGATAATTCAAATGGACCTAATCCTATCTTTTCTATAACGTTGTAGTATTAAGGATTTTCTACCCAGGAATATATAACTTTAGCTGATTTGGCAAAACCTTTCGGAATTTTTAGTTCTCAATGCTGCAACTTCGTACTTTATTTGGCTTTTTTTAACTTTTTTGATTCGAGCGTCACTGATGAGTTTTTGTAGACGAAACGCGCGTCTGGCGTATCAAATTTTAACCTGGTATCTATGATGAGTTTATTTATTAGACATCTCTATCGATAATTTTTGAATAATAAAAAAATAAAAAAATATCGATTAAAACCAAAATGCTTTTTTTTTTCACATCAAATGTTTCTGTTCATGCATTTCCAAACAATATATCTGTGGGATTTTGCTTAAAGTTTGGGGTGTAGTGCGCGTTTGCTTGTCGCTTTTTAAAAGTATTTTAGAAAATGACATGTACTTTCAAATAGTATTCCACTATTTCTAAAACATTTTTTTATATGATGCTTTAGTAATATAATTGCATTATTACATTAGAAGCTTGTATTTGAAAATTATAGCAAATTATGTCCCTTTTAGTTGCGACCTCAAATGAACAAAATTAGTTTGGATATGAAAAATACTTTTTTATTTTCATTGCATGCATACGAGATTTATAGTATGATGCAGACTTTTAACACTTACATTCTTTACACTTAGGCGTTCCACCACTCCAACTTCCATATAGACAAATTAGATAGGGCGAGTGGTCCGTAATTCCGAGTAACTGATAACCATTCCTACATATATATTTAGCCCTGTTATTATGCTTCAATCCTTCAAATATCCTTAATCCATTATCAATATGTGGCGGTGGACCTTTACATGCAGCTGAAATGAACAGAGGCAATTAACAGCAAAAATAAATGTTGCCGGGTTTGGCCCATTTATTCTAGTAACTCACGAGCCAACCGTTGCAACTCTATATGCATTTGAACATTAAACATTAACTTCCATTTACATTTTTACGATAATTATGTTTTACCGTAAAAATCTATAAACGCAAAATGTTTGAAGACATAATAACGAAACTCTCTACATGTACTACACTACTTGATGCTGGTAGCGTAGAGAACGAAAAATATGACAACAATTTACCGTTCATCCTCTGTTTCGTGTTTATCGTCCCTTATACATTATTATTCAGTAAAAACTTACTCTGTACGAAAGTATTTGGCATAAAAAAAAGGTAGATAAAATTGGAAATTGATGATTATACCCCCTCTCCCAAGGAGGGGGTATACTGTTTTACCCACGTCTGTCCATATGTTTAACCGTCCACTGAAATTCCAGTCGCATATCTTTCGGGAAGTACAAATTAGAGCTTCCTGAAATGTGTTATTAAGCTTTTTTTTGAACATGTTATACAATGTGATGCGTTTTCAGATTCAACGCTCACCAACTTCCTGTTTATCGAATACTTATATAACCTAACATATGATGGTTATGTATGAAGTTTTTGTCACATTTTTTAAGGAACTACAAACAAGAGCTTCCTGAAATTTGTTATGAGGCTTCATGTGAACATGTTGTCTCATTGGCACTCATACCACATCTTCTTATATCTATGCTATACCGTTTGGTGCATTTTCACATTGCTCGCTCACACATTATTATACAAAATGACCATGTATGAAATTTTCGTAACATTTTTCTCAAGATCTACAAATCAGAACACTCTACATTTTGATATCAAAATTTGTGTGAGTATGGTTTGTCATGAGATGTGTTTTTACATCCTTCGCAATTCAACTTCCTGTTTATCGAATACCTTAAGCGGGGAGAATCATAAGTGAGCAATAGCTCACAGTTCCACTTGTTTCGTCATAATTATTTATTTATTTGTATCTTACCAGGTGTACATTTAGGTTGAGAAGTCCATGTCCCATTGTCACATCTCACGGGTCTATTGTCATCAGGAACTAATCCTTGTTTACACTGATAGTTTAAAACAGTCCCATGACGAGCCCAAACACCCTCTCGTTTGTCTGGTTGTCCATTCAAAGTTGCATCTGGTATACTAGGAATAAGACACTGTCCTGAAAAACATCTCATGAATTATAAAATATGAAAAAGCTTATTTCCTCTGTATGGCAAGATTTCAACCGTAGTTTTTGATGTGGTACTTGTCTCATAATCTGTGGATGTTCGTTTTGTGTTTTATGGAATATATTTTGTTTTTAAATCACACCTTATGTTGTTGACGTTTGTCTGTCTTTTGTAACCGCATGATTATATTTTCCTGCATGATTTAAGACTAATTTAAAGTTTTGTTTTTGAATGAATAACTTAAACCCCGGATGACCCGAGATCAATCGGCTTATATGACGGCATTGCACAATCGACTCTTATTACGGCATAACATAAGCGTTTGGAACTGTACGGGAAAATGCAAGAACGAAAACGCTGTTTATTGTATGTTTGCTTTTTTATTGACGTTTACCTCAAATCTCTTTTTATTCACATAATACTGTCCTTATAATTGGAAAAAATCATTCTAATGTTCTTATATTAATGTATACTATTTGCTTATATAACACCTTAAATTATTCATAAATAAAAATTAGATTTATTTATAGTGTAAAACACACCTAAGCATAGAGGTGGAGGATGTGACCAGGTCCCGTTTTCTAGACATGTTGTCTTAAGTGATGAACCTTCAAAATTCGTCCTAATGTCACAGCTGAAAAGTAATAATCAGAAAATTGAAACTGGTTTACAAATATAAAACTCAAGGAGACACCCGGAAAATCGCTGACATATTTATTGAATTATAAATACATAATATATTTTCAAAATGCTTTGTCAACTGATAAAGTATAAATACAGTTAGGAAGGGGTGAGCGCTCACAGACAAGTTTGACCCCAACACGGTTTCTATATACCTGTCCACATAGGGAGCCTGTAATTCAGTGGTTGCTGTCTGTCATATTTGTTTTTCGTTGATTTTTTTGTCGAAAATCAGGCCGTTTAAGAATAAGCGAGTATAACAGAAATACCGAACTGCAAGGCAAATTAAAAAAAAGGAGGTGTCCATAAAAACTGACAAAATTAAACACTATTTATCGACGGAACAACGAAAAAACAACTTCCATATCCTCACTTTGTACAGGCATTTTCCGAAGAAAATGATTGGTTTAAACTTGTTTTATAGCTACCTAAATCTCCTTCTTGTATGACAGTTATTTATAGTTCAGTTATATTGACAAAATAGTGTGAGCCACCTAAACAGACATAATAGGTTAATGTGACAATAATTTGGATCCAACAGCCAAATCTGTGTAAAAATACATCACAGATATACAACACAACTGAATAAAAAATTAAAACAAACATACAAATTAATCTAACAATGTTTTGGTATGTTGTTGTATATTGTTTCGAATCGAGAGTGCCATTTGGAAGTCATTTTCTTTCAAAATTATCCCCAAGATATAAAACTGAATACTGAAAACTACACCGTACATGGGTACAGAGACAGGGTTATTTATTAATCTAAACAGGAAGTTGATGAAGTGAACATCTCCGTATTTACTATTAAGGATTATAAAAGAAAATTATTTCTGTCAATTAACATGAATAAAAATATATTCTTTTATTTTTTGGCCGATTTCCTTATTTTTTCATATAAAAAAATTTCTTTATTCATGTCACCTACCCTTGACCTTATTTTTTATATTCTAGGACCTTTAACATTCATTCTCACACTGCATTTTAGGATATACTACATGTATAGGGTAGCAGGATCTGCTTTCCCTTCCAGATCACCTGAGATCACCCCCGGTTTTTTTGGTGGTGTTCGTGTTGCTTAGTCTTAAGTTTTCTATGTTGTGTTTTGTGAACTGTTGTTATTCATTTTGTCCAATTTTTATAATTTGCGATGGCATTGTCAGTTTGTTTTCAATATCCCTTTATAATCTTTCGTCATAATCGAATGCATACAGTGCACGATGAAGGATTAATAAAACACGATACCGATTTTACTGCGCACACAGTTTTTCTATAATACACCTTATCAGGTACGACCAAGACAAATAGTGCGAAAATTAAAAAATGTAAAACATTTTAAATAAGAAATGTCAAAAACAGTCTGCGAAAGAAAATGACATTGAGCAGTGCCAAATGTAACTATCGAATGGATTGTTGGCCGTATGTTTTGATAACTGATAGCAATATACGTATTTAGTTATGTTTTAATTATTGATTGATTGATTGTTGGTTGCTTAAACGTCCTTTTAATTATTGATAACAGAATCAATGTTAATACCGATAAACACAATATTCAAAAATCTTATTACAGTGTGAAATTCACAACCTTTTAGAATAATTTTATATAAATGATCGATAAGTTTATATGGATTTATATTTACGGGCTCTATAAACAACATCGCCGCAAAGTATAGGATATGATATCCAGTTTCTTATAATTTTGTACAGATACAACCAAACTTTCTAACCAAGTCTTTAAATCTATAAAAAATTTATAGTAAAGGTTTACCAGTGATACATATATTACGTTGTTTGAAGTCTATAATGTCACTACAGACACGGGCATAGCGAACGAGTTGGGATTCATATAAGAGTAAGTTCCCTTCGATAACAACAACATATCCTCAAGGTTACGGTAAGTGTTGTTGAATTCATCAATAAATGAAATTCAGGTAGATCTTTCCCGAACTTGGCCATAGACTGTGAATCATAACAATACAAGAACATGTCTGCTATTTAAGTGGCGCACTGAAGCCCATAGAAATACCTACAACCTATCGATAAACTTTACTGCCGAAACGTACAATCTTGTTGCCAAGAAGAAAATATACAACTTTAATCAAATTATCACAGTTCCACTTGTCCCGAAAAAATTGCCACCTACGTTTTAAAATAAAATATAATTTGAAAAATTCACAGCAAACACATAATTTTCAAATACCGGGAATTCATTTGTTTTGCAATCTATTCAAATTAAAATGATTTAAGTTTTTAGTTCGATTTGCTGTTCATATCCGCATATAATTTGATTCCGTTTGCTTCGTTTCCATATGATTAGAAATAAAATTACCTGTAGAAAATAACTGATCCAACGGAAGTTTTCTGACCTAAAAGATATCCGTTGTAAAAGGGTTTTGGCCATCCACAGTTGACTTCTGTCACAAAATAAACATAATTGTTAATGAATTAAAATATATATCCAAACCACTCTAAAATGCATTTATATTTTTATGAAAAAAAGAAAAAGGCTATAATAATGTCACCGTTGGTACGATATCTCTCAGCTTATTGCCACAGTTGAGATGAATACAAGCACGATTAATACAATTGAGAATGGAAACGGGGAATGTGTCAAAGAGACAACAACCCGACCTAAGAGCAGAAAACAGCTTAAAGCAACAAATGGTTCTTCAACACAGAGAGGAAATCCCGCACCCGGAGGCGGGCTTCAGCTGGTCCCTAAACAATAACAATGTAAAAATAAAGAGATGGGATGTAATTGCAAATGGAACAACGTTCTATCTTTAAGAAGGAACATATAAATGTTTCTAAAGCTTCTGTGAACTGTCTGATGTTATACATGGGATATCATGTTAGCTAGAAAATAGACACAACAAAATTGTGAAGGTCTTTACAACCTTAAAACTGTTTATTGTTAAACAGCCAGTTTTTGTCAAATTTGTCCGCCTGATATCCCAGCAGACAATTTTTCCGATTTTACATGTTGATGTTTATTAAATGTTCTTTACCAGAATAAACATAAAATAATTATCTTTTTCAAAAATTATTCATCAATAAATTATAAGGAATAACTATATTTTTTCATTTTTTCCCTACAGGTTGGCCATCATGTTGACTTATTTGTAGATCTGATTTTGTTTAACATCTTTGCTTTTTACATTTTTTCTCTATCGATGTAAGTTCCTATAAAAAATTGAAACAAATAGTTAAAAACGAAGGGCAATAGCTATCTTCCCATATTTCATTACAAAATTCAGTAATTTAGTTTTCATCCTATTCACACGATAATGCTACTGTATAATCCAAACAAAATATGTCAATAAACTGTACCTTTAGCTCGGTGACCTATTATTCATATTATGTTTTAAAAAAGCGCAATATATACCACATTTTGCCAAAGTATGAACAAAGACTGTCAATTTTCTTTATACACCATACTCCCTTAATGTACGTTTACAGTAAGATGTTCATTTTAGTTACATGGTGTAGATGGATTGATAATGTATAGACCATTTTTCCAGTATTAATTTGTATTAGTAAGATTTACTAAATATTCACGAATCATAAATGAAATACTGTAAAATTAAAAACATAACCTGAACATGTAACATCATCTCCACTCCACTGCCCGTTTTCTTGACATCGTCTTTCTACTGATCCCTTGTGTTTGAAACCTTTCATGCATTCAAAGCTTAAAACCGTGCCATAAGCATTTCCTGATCCAATAATTGTACCATAGCGAGGTAAACTGAGATGTGGACATTCAACAGCTGGAACATATAATAGATTTTGTAAGTGCAACAAAAATCAACATTCTATTATGTTTTTCCCCTATGCATATGATAAAATGGAAGAAACCTTGGTGCTACAAAAGGCATATCAAATGAAAAAAAAGTCCAATTAAATAATGATGAGATATCAATATATAAAAAAACACCCTTTAATTTTGATTATACCTGAGATCTACTATAAAGAGAAAAGCAATAAAATGATACATCATTACTGAATGAAAAACAAAAATTCTACGTTCAGTGTAGAAATTTCAATTTTCGAACATTTTAGTGCGGTATAGTTCGGAAATAGTAACATCTTCTATAATTTTGCCTGAAAATTCAGCAGAAATTGTACAACTGAATTAAAAAAAAAGATTGATGGCCGCTTGATTAACGTCCAGTGACAATTATTTCATGGAATCATTGATAAACCAACGTACGCATCAAAATTGGTTTGAAAAAGAAACAAATGTTTGTAAATTAAAAGCCTCATTTAACCAGTTACTTACTAGCCTTTGGATTCATTTTGGTATTTCATCTTGATATCACCAATTTTGATTTCTTTAGTAGCGTATTGAATATTTTCAAGTGAAAAGCAAACCCGAAATCGTACCTTATATTGTTTATAAAAATCCTTTTTTAATTGATAATTCCTTTTGCATTTGCCCAATAAATAATTGTTAAAGCAACATGTAACATAACATTTATGTTTTTTGCCTCAATTTAAACTCCCTATGCAATAACCTTTTTCATGGATTCACTTTCGCATATAAAATATAATCATTTTGTTTTATATTAAACAAAGACTCACTTAATCATTGTCATTTCTTAGTTATAATCTCGGACTTTGTTAAATGTGGATCAACAATTTACAGAACTTCTTTCAGAAAAAAATTGATAACATATTTCTCGTTTCCAACAATAAAATTTCAAAAACAAGAGAAAACGCATACAATTGAAATTGTATGTTATGTACAATCATTTCAGTCCCCAAAAACAGCAATGTTGTCCATTATGAAAAAAATGGACTGGGATTCCTTGTAACAAATTCTGATGGCATTTCCACCAAGATAGTTGAAAATGACATCATAAAGTTGGATTGTTTCGAAGCGTTTTCTAGACTGATCTGCATCCAGAATGCTGAAATCCCAAACATGGAAAGTCATGGATGAAGGAATAATTGTATACTTGAATGAAATAAACCGACTTTTGGAAACAAATTCGAACAAAATTCAGAGGATGATATTACCAAATCAAAAAACGAAGAAGGTGGAAAAAATTGTGGCTACGAGATATGGAATCAGGAGGAAGGCATATAGTCCATGTTTATGTGCTGCTGAATTTTTCTTAATAAATATGCAGAAAATATCAAGGTGACATAAACAACTCATAAGGCTAAGATAAACTGACAATGTCATGGCAAAAAAACGAAAAACAACGAAAAACATACAAATGGAAATTCATAGTCTGATGTCCTCAAGGCTCATATCTATCAAGAATTTATTCTGAATATAAAGTGGATATCATATGTCATTTGATTAAATTTTAATTAACTGGAACAAAATTCGTCTAGCTCTGTACATTTATTGTTTTACAAATTTAATACCGATATCTTAATCTACAAATGAATCAGTCATGATTTAAAAGTACATACGTCTTACTAGGTTGATTTGTTTTAGTTTGCTTGGTTTAGCGATGAACGACTGACGTTAGAGGTTCGTAAAATTAAGGAGAAAAGCCAAATAAAGTTATATCCCAAATGCTCGTGATTATCTTTTACTTGCAAATTCGAAATCAAAAGTACAAGAAAAAGATGACTAATGGTGACTTTAAATGTATGCACGAACAAAAAGTATTATTCCTGGCTCTATGTAAACATGTTTTTAGTAGAGGGACATTAAAATATTATCAACATTGATTAATTCCGATCGCATCCACAAAAAAAAAAAAGAATAATTAAATAAGATTTTAAAAGATTAATTAGAAGGAAATTAATTGTATACAGAAATTAAAAAAAGTGAATTTGAAGGGATATCAAAATGAACTGCTCATTTTAAGTAAAATTTAACATGTGGAATGTGGGAAATGGGATAAAGGTAATTGGAAAACAGCCTTCTAACAACAATAAACCCCCTCCACCACAAATAACCGAGTATGTTGGTCAACATATTGTCTGCAAGGTTGGAAAGGTTCAAGCCACGTTTGAATTTCTGCGTCGATCCTAGTATCAAACATGTGAATGTGTTTAACTGGAAATCTTGAACATTTGTTAATCACTATCAATTTCTTCTAATAAACAAAATCATTTAGAAATGACAAATATTATTTGATTTTAGTGAGAGTAGCAATGAGGATAAAATTATCCCTTGTAAAACCATAACCAAATTAGTCCAAAAAAAAGGTTATGTTAAGACCACTTTCATTCGAAATTTTAATGATAGACACGTATTAATACTTATGTAATTATTCGTTTGAAAAACACTAAGTTGAAATTCATTTGTACATGTTGAATAATTTTATTCTGAAGCATTGTTCATAATATAACCACTCATATTATACTATACGCATTGCTATACGACGTGTCTCGGTATTTTGTACATCCAACATTCATGTATTTATTTTTGATGTTTCTGTTATGGTTTCGGTTGGATAATGTGTTATGTCGTATCGTTTGTAGTCCAAATAGTTATAAAATTGCCTTTCAATACCATCATTGACATGAAAATTGTTTTGACTGGTATTGTGAAAATAATTGTATAAAGTTCGAGATTGCATGTTTGTTACGTAAGTGCGTCACTGTTTGTGATGTCCTGTTGTGTCTGTCGTTGATGGAAGATGTTCATTGTTGTTCTGCGGTTTGTATGTTGTGTCGACTATTATATTTGTTTGTGCGTTTCTCTTTGATGAGTGTTCTTGCGTGTGTTTGTGCTGTATTTCTGTCACGTAGTGTTGCCATTTCAGCGATATTTTTTAACATTGTCATATAAGCGGGAGGTTTGGCTAGCCATAAAACCAGGTTCAATCCACCATTTTTTCTTAAAATGTCCTGTACCAAGTCAGGAATATGGCAGTTGTTATCAAATAGTTCGTTTCTATGTATGTTGGCGTTTGTTTTTGTTGAAATTTAGTGTTCCTGTTGTTCCTTTGTTTTCCTCTTATAGTTGATGTGTTTACCTCGGTTTTAGTTTGTAACTATGATTTGTTTTCTCTCAATCGATTTATGACTTTTAAACACCGATATACTACTGTTGCCTTTATTCATAGCTTGTTTAAATACTGCCAAGCAAATACAATTACATCAACGTTTATCATTTCAAGTTAGATGCTTACCTACTTCCATAAATGTCGTTTCGTCCAGATGAATGGACTTTGTCCAATCTTAAATAACATTAATTACATATGTATATTTTCAAACGTGTTATAATAATAACTTTCATTAGTCCTTGGGTACATAATAAATAGTTTCATATTTATAGAAATTTATTCAGTGTGATATAATATTTATAAACGCATTCACTCGATGTGTTAACGATTTTTTTACAGAATAAAGTGAAAACAAATCGGCGCATAGAATATGTGGTGGACTGGTTAGATCATTGGAAATCAAATCATAGGCGATAGAACTCCAAGGTTCAGTTATTGATACAGGTTTATTTAAGAATAATTCGGTTTACTATTTCCTAATATTAGATTTAGGAAAAATATGAAAAATTTTAAAGTTTAATGTTGCGTAAAAAAGGTCCAAATATATTAGAAAAATAAAACAAAAATCTACTATGATATTCAGATGTTATTTCTTGATCGTTACAATGCGACTATCCAAGTTTCATTACATTTCGTGAAGGTTTAACAAAGTCATTTATTTCAATTAATAAACTATGAACGTTCATTGTACGGATTTCATTTGTGCTCCAATCGCACAACACCTCATGATGATGCCGGGAAATACCGACTTAAATCGACAGTAAGCAAGTTTAAGGTCACTATCCCTTATGAGTTGATCGATACAATGTCTGTGTCTCTGTCCTCTTTAGATATGTTTTATCACGGTCATAGGTCTTAAGACACCAGAAGAATCGTCTGATCCGTAAATTGATCAATTGTGTCCTGTTCCCTGCTTTGACATTTTTAAATGAGTGTTAATTCGTATAAATAGTAAAAGACGCCTATTTATATGACAAAATATTTTGGAACTTTTGGCCCTCGATTCTTTTTAACTTTGTATTTTATATGTCCTTTTAGCTTTTTTGATTCGAGCGTCACTGATGAGTCTTTTGTATACGAATCACGTCAGGCGTACAAAATTATAAGCCTGGTATCATTGATGAAATTTTTTCACCACCACTTGGTCGATGCCACTGCCGGAAGAGATTACCTCCCCGCGGGTATCACGAGCCCAGTAGTGAGCACTTCTGTGTTGTCATGAATTATCATTGATGTTGTCATATTCAACAATTAACTGTTTACAAAACTTAGAATTGTTCGAAATATTAAGGATTTTCTACCCAAGAAATAGATTACCTTAGCTGTATTGGGCAAATCTTTCGGAATTTTTGGCACTAGGTGCTCTTCGTATTTTTTCGCCGTTTAACTTTTTGATTCGAGCGTCACTGATGAGTCTTTTGTACACGAAAGGCGCTTCTGGCGTTCAAAATCGTAAGGCTGGTATCTTCGATGAGTTTTTTTACTCGATGCAGTCTTAATCGATTTGTTTTGAGTTGAAATTGAAATATTAACCCTTTTATCCAGTATTTGACTAGTTTTTCTAAAGAACTATTATTTGTTGACCTTAAGGGACAACACAGAGAGATTTTATATTTGAATGTAAATTCAACAATAAACACCAATGGTTTATCCAGAAATGGGGAAAACAGCATCTTACCAAAAAACTAAATTAAGTCTATTTAATAGAAAAACAAAGGATATGGGTATCCATAAAATTGAGAATGGAAATGGGGAATATGTCAAAGAGACAACAACCCGACCAAAGAGCAGACAAAAGCCGAGGGCCACAAATGGGTCCCATCCCTGACACGAAATCCATCCATGACACAAAATCAGTACATGCACAGGAAAAACAACCATAAAAAGCAAAGGAACAGCGCTTTTATTGCTGGTCGCCATCTTAAGTCACAGTTATAGTTTCCTTGTTTTAGAATATGGAAAAATTATGACTCCGCCTTTAGAATAGAATACAAATTATATATATATAATTACTCTAAATGCCAGCACAACAATGTTAAATCTGCAAATTTGCGGAAGCAAATTATTGTTCTTCTTTCGCTGGGATTCGAACTCATGGTGCATGAGTTCGAATCCCGGCGAGGGAAGAACAAAAATTAGCTTCCGCAAATTCGCAGATTTAACATTGTTGTGCTGATATTTAGAGTAATTATGAATATAATATGTGTTTTCAGACTTGTATCACCATCACTGGTGATCCGATGGTATCACCATCACTGGTGATCCGATGGATAAAATCTGTCGTAGAGTTGCCACTGGTTCAGACGTACTTATAATATTATTATTTCTGTGACTGCATCCTACATTAATTTGTAAGATCCTCTACGATAGATAATTCAGCTGACCTGTATTATTCCATCTTCATGGCTTATATATCATGTACTGTCTTACGACGCTAGATAAAAACTGACGAGGAAAGGTAACACCCGGCCACCAAAAGCTTGATTTTTGTCGAGCCTAGGTGGTCGAGTTATCTAGCGCATCGGGCATAGTGCAAGGCGATTTGGTGCAACGATATCTCAGTAGCATGAGTTAGAATCCCGGCCAGGGAAGAACAAAAAATTTGCTTCCGCAAATTTACAGATCTAACATTGTTGGGCTGTTATTTAGACGAATTATGTATAGAGAATGTGTTTTCAGTATGTATCAATCCGATGGATAAAATCTGTCGTCGAGTTGTCAATGATTCTGACGTACTAATATATTTTTAGCCACAGCTGTTGTGTCGTCGTATATAAACCCTATTTTGACTTTTTAAGCAACGAAAATGATGATTTGAAAAATAAACTTATCAATTCGTTAAATCACTCAGTTCCTTTTACATGTGAAATGATTCAACGTTTAACTATGCTTCACTGTTTATATTAGTCATCAACATTATTACATAATTGCATCGTGAAAATTATAAAAAAAAGTCAATGTCATGTCGTATCTACCATTGAGGCATATAAGTCAATGTCATGTCGTATCTACCATTAAGGCATATAAGTCAATGTCATGTCGTATCTACCATTAAGGCATATAAGTCAATGTCATGTCGTATCTACCATTAAGGCATATAAGTCAATGTCATGTCGTATCTACCATTAAGGCATATAAGTCAATGTCATGTCGTATCTACCATTGAGGCATATAAGTCAATGTCATGTCGTATCTACCATTAAGGCATATAAGTCACTCGTTTCTTTTCATTTTACGACTAAAACACTTTGAATATATCAAATCTTTCTTTGGATTAATTCTGTTTGAAAAGTTTACATATATTAATTACTGGAAGATCATATATGATAAATGTTTTACCTAGATAATCCTTCAGTTTGTGCATCATATTCTTATCGAAATATAGCTTCTGCTTTTTCTATCTTCTAAAGTATGTATTGAGTAAATAGAGAGCGGAAGATACCAAAAGGATATTCAAACTCATAAGTCAAAGATAAACTGACAAGGCCATGGCAAAAAACAAAAAAAATCAACTCACAGGATAGCCTTAAACTGAGACTTTTCTATGTCAAAGATGTATCAGTAATTCGACCTTAGACTCTAATAAAGATCAACAATTAATGCGTCAATATTGAGACCTTATGTCATTCATACTGCTAGGTTCCGAGTTATGGCCGCAAATGACATTTTTCAAGCCTTTGATAGTGATTAACTCCCTTACGAAAGGATAATAGATTTTTTGGTCAAACACAAAACAAACAATTTTGCCTTGATGTCCTTAGCATGTCCCAGTTACTCCTTTCTACATTATATATTTCGAATTCAACCCATTACAATGTCCAAGGTCAAGAAGACAGGAAGAGATTCTATTCCATCCAAGTCCCTCAAAGTTTTTGATGAATGTTTTCTTACAAAAAAAAAAAACATCAAAAACTTTGACAGAGAAAACTTGTACAAGAAAAGTTTGATAGCGACAACGGGCCTTAAAAATTATCTGCACTCAAACACTTCATCATTGCTGCGTATTTTCTCAATAGATAACAAAAAGAGGTTGTGCCCAATTCCCCGGGATTTGTTCAACCCAGAGCCATTTAAAAAAAGTCTTACAATATTTGCTTGAATTCACATTATCACAGCTACATGAGTGTATTATGATATTCTTATAATATTATGACTTTTTCTCTATAGAAGACCAAGTAAAATACACCGAAACAAAATGTATAAGATGAATATTCTTAAACAAAACCTAACTTCTGTAGGAAGTAAATCTATTTATTATCTATCGAATAAAAAATATTTCATTTTTGTTACAGACATCCTTTGATGCCAAATTTTACAAAATCATTTAAAATTTTCAATTTTGTATCAAAATGCCTTAAATGGGCAACATGTAGCGCTGAATTACATTCTAATTTAGTGGAAACTGTTTGGTGTTTGCTTTAATCCGCTAGACCCTACGAGTGAAACTAATACAGGAGAAATGGGCTCTACCTCTCTACCTCTGTCATGTTTTGAAAATTTGTGTTCGTTATCTGACAATTTCTTCTGAAGTATCTCATTCTGCTCTTCCAAATTTAATTCACCTTACCTTCTGAAACTCACTTAAACTATGTTGAGAGCACTTTGACAAATTGTGCCTGAAAGCAAACTCACGGATACATTGTAACAAGAATTTTGTTTTGACAAGTTTTGATTAAAATATATTTTATGACAAAGTAAATTAAAACTAATTATGTATCATGTCTTCAAAATTATTCATTTAGTATAATCCAGGATCCTCCAATGTATACGAGGAGAAAATACGGATCCGACTGAATTCCAATGTATACTTCAACAATAACAAATGTCTTGGCATTATATTAGGACGAAATACAAATTTTATAAACTTATTGACCATTGATTATACTTACGAATACATTCAGGCACTAGTCCTTCCCATATCCCATCAGCTTCGCATGTTAATATTATATCACCATGAAGTTTGTACCCTTGTTTACAGTTATATTTAACTTGATTTTTGTACTCAAACATATGCCCTTCTCTCCATCCATCCTTTATATCAACAGGGAAACCACAATTCACAGCTACAATCATAAAACAGAACTTTACTTTAATGTAAAAATATAAAAATTCCTAATTTTCTCTTACTCGCCAATGAATACCCCTATCACGAAATAGAATTTCCTTCATAATATAATTTCCAAATGGAATAAATTTTCTGGAATTATAGTACATTCATCAAAACAAATGTTTTATCAGCCGTAATTCATGATATCAGCGCGATGGCATAAGGCTCGAGACTCATATTGACGGAGGGCTGATATTAAATTTGATATACAAACATGTCATGTCATGATCTTTTTACTATATTCTACCATTTAAAAAATAACAGTGTAAATACATGTGAAAGAGCCATAAAGATCAAACTATTTCCCCCATTAAGTTCTGTTTAAGAATGCCTTTAATACACGGCACGAACATATCATTGTGAAACCTCTAAATTGAAAGAGTTTGATCCAAGTATTCATTAATGTATGCAATCATTTTTTGGAGACAGATCAAAATAAGCAATTATTTCTGGATAGTATCCGTATATGATGTATTATCTTATATTATTATCCAGTATTGGGATATGTATTTTCATTACTAGGAGTTTAATTTTTTGTACAGCCAAATTAATCAATGAATGACTGTTTTTTTTTCCGAAGCAAAATTTAAAATTCACATTGAACTCCATAGAGAACAATAGCTATTATACAATGAATGTGACAAAGAGACAAATACCCGACCAAAGAGCAGAAAACAGCCATCAATGGGTCTTCAACACAGCATAATAAAATCCATCATCCGGAGACGGGCTTCATCTGGTCCCTAAACAATAATGTATACTAGTGGACGAAATGGACGCCACACTTAACTCCGAAAACAAACAAATAAAACAAAATTAAGAAAAAAAAAACACAAGACTTACAACGGTTATAGGTTGACTGTATAACTTGGGACAGGCTTACAAATGCGGCGGGCTTAAATATGTTTTGTGAGATCTCAACCTTCCCCTTCCCCTATACCTCTAGCCAATGTGAAATAAACAAATACACAGTAAAACGCACGGTAAACTCAGTTCAAAAGCAGTCCGAGTTCGATGTTAGAATAGTTAACAGAAGAAACTAAGCAAATTGACAATGCTAAACATACATTAACAAAGGACTACTAGCAGTTAATGACATGCTAGCTCCAGACTTTAATTGAACAGATTGAAAGATAATGTCTCCATTATATGAAAACTAACCACTATCCCTTCCGTTAGGTGTTTAGTATCATGCCATAATAAATTATACGAGAAGAACATAACCAAAAAAAAGTGAATCAATATGAAATGTGTGTATTTCTAATACAAAGACCCTAAAAGTGAATCAATATTAGATGTGTTTTTTTTTCAATACAAAGACCCTAAGAGTGAATCAATGTCAAGTGTGTTTTTTCCGATACAAAGACCCTATGAGTGAATCAATATTAATTCCAAAAAATGCCGTCTTTAATGACTTGACAACAGTATCGTAACTATTTCCCTTGTGAATAAGTCTGTTTAAAGGTTTGGTTAGCTTTTGAGATGAATATTTTCAATTGGACAGTACAATTTCCAACAATTTAAAAGGACATGTAAACTTGAATTGATTCTAAGGAAAGTTTGATTGCATTCGCAATAATATCAAGGTGACTTATGGTTAGCTAGGTCCGGGTCTTAATTGTTTTAAGTTCAACATTTCTCTCGTTCGAAAGGAAAGCGGGAAAATATTGTATTGACATTATGGGTAATATGCGTATGGTCCAATCACTGGGGTTGATTTAGATGCGGGTATGTAGGCATGTTCGATTTGTTTATCATTTTCTAGCCGCCGCTCGTACAGGGAAGACTTCAAAATGGACGCCAATCTCATAGCCAGAAGGCATTTCCGAGTCGCAGTTAGCCAAAATTGACGAGACCATGACAGAGACCTTCAAGTCTCGAAGAACAATATAAACACAACAAGAAGGTCTTAGTGAAAGTTCAGGAAGCAAACAACTAGTTGGAATCAGACAAATTTGACCAATGACAGCATCCAAACCACAAAAAGAAAGATTTCAGAAGTTTTGGAACTAATTAAATCAAGACAAAAGCTTATTAAGTTAGCAGATTTTTCAGACGTAGGATGACGGTTTTCGACAAATACACCACAAATCCATTAGCAGAGGATTCCGAAGATGAAAAAAAAAGAATATACAAGGCACAGAGTAGAGCCGATTCAAAATTAAAGAAAGTGAAGGCTAAACGCAGAACCGATTTAAGGCCAACACCTTACAAGGCCAGAAAGATGTTGCAATTGTAATGAAACTGTTCATTGGAGGAGAGAGTGTCCACATGCGACGGTAGACCATAAAAACAAGATAAGTCCTAATACGTTATACAAAACGGGTACGTGATTCCTTTTTTCATTTTTCAAAAGAGAATTATGTTAGAAAATAACGGCGCGTGACTATCAGATTTTTGTGTCGGAAAAGATCGACAAGTTGTTGAAAAAAGGGTGCAATTACAGCGTTAACGAACAACCACATGTTATAAACCCTCTAACAGTAGCTAATAATGGTTCAAAACTAAGATTTGTGTTGGACGCGAGACATATAAATCCACATTTTTTTTAAATTACGTCACAAAATCGATGATGCCATTACAGCTAGACAAATGTTTAACAGACAAGATTACATTTTTTCATATGATTTGAAAGTTGCATACTCACTTAAGTAGTTCGAGAAGTCGTAAAACATTGGAGAAGAAGAGGGTTGAAAATAGTTATGTATTTAGACGATGGTTTAGGGGTAGGTGCTACTTATTCAGATGCATTAAACGCTAGTGATACAATCAGGAATTATTTAAAAGATTCAGGGTTCAAAAAAGTGTAATTGGGCACCTACACAAAAACTGGAGTGGTTGGGTTTTTGTTGGTGTATGGAAGACGGTGTACTGACAGTCAACGCTAAAAGGTTGAACAAGTTAAAAGAGTCTTTGAGTGATCTGTTACAACAATACGAAAAGGGAATGATATATTTCAAAGTAAGGTCACTTGCTAGTATTGTTTGACAGATCATTTCAACACAAGCTGTTTCAGGGGATATTGCACATTAAAGAACAAGATTTATGTATGATTGCATACTTACAAGAGAAGGCTGGAATTCCAGCGTGATATTCAGTTCGGAAGCTGGAAACGGAATGTAGGTTTTGGTTAGATAATATAGACCAAATAAACGAGATAGGATCTCAGTTATGTCAGTTGACATACAACGAAGCACAAGACTATCTCGTCTTTTGTGACGCCTCAGAAACAGGTTTCGGGAGTCATTTGACCACAGGTTCAGAGAACGAACCGATAGAGATATACGGAAGTTGGTCTTCCACTGAAAAAGAAAAAACCTCTACACGGAGAGCACTTGAATCAGTAAAAAGGGTTATAAAAACAGTATTATCATATTGCACGGTCTGACAATAAGAGTTTACGGAGACAATAAAAATATGCCACATATTATGAAAGTTGGTAGTAAGAAAAAAGAATTATGTCTGTTCATAATATTTGTCACGATAACAAAATCAAACTAAACTTAGTATGAATACCACGTGAGCATAATGATAAGGCAGACAGTCTGGGTAGGAAATCAGATTTTGATGATTGGGAAATCGACGATTGAATTTTCGTGTATCTGAATAAGTTATGGGGTCCATATACTTTTGATCGCTTTGCACAAAATTACAATACAAAAAGCGAGAATTTCAATTCAGAGTCTTGGTACACAGGTACATCAGGCATTAATGCTTTTCCTGTGCCATGGAGTGGCGAGAACAATTGGTTAGTTCTATCACCTCGGTTGGTCCTACAGACCATTAACAAAATGATACACGATAAAGGTAGCTATACTTTGATTGTACCTGAGTGGACATCTGCAGTTCATTGGCCTATGCTACTGGACGAAGTAGGTAAGTTTAAAGCTTTCATAAGAGATTACAGGTTTTTTCGAGATGAGAGTCTCATAAAACGAGGTAGGGGTCAAAATGGTATATTTGGCTCACAGTTCTTAAAATTCAGATTCATTAAATAAAAAACATACTAGTAGATATTTATATTTGCATTTTCTTAACAGGCATCAGTTTAGATCGGCATGTAAAGGACGCAATAAAGGACAGTGGAGTAGAAACAGGAAGCCATTTGTACAGTCTATATCCAAAGATGTGTGGATTATTATTGAACAGTAAAAGTGACAGTACCTGTTAAGTCGTATTTCTACGCTTTTAGAAGGTGGGAAAAATTCATTACTGAACACTGACAAGATTCTTTACCTGCCCAACCGGTACACGTTGCTTTATATTTAACAAATTTATATGGTATAAAATGGGCACATGAAGTGAGTGGGTTACCAGATCTTACTATAAACTCTTTTGTTACTTCCATCGTGGAAGCTTCTAAACGAAACACAACTAAAAACTCTAACAAAAAAGATCCGGTTTTAGCAGATACATCAAAAGAAACTATGTACAAATTTTAAAGATTCAGCTGATTTGCTCATAATCAGAGATTTTACAATGACGTTACTAAGTTTTTCTGATTTTCTGAGGTATGACGAACTTAGTTCATTATGTTTTAAAGGGGCATTAGCAACGACATATAGAAAAAATAAAATATGATTTTTTTTTGTTCAATCATTAATGAAAGTGAAATGGGGAAATAATAATACGCTTTTAGCAGCCAGTTTGGTTCAGTTTTGTCAAAATAAGTAAAGAAACATCGTTAATAAATTATTCACTTGCAAGTGAATAATTCGACCTCAGTAAATCCGTATTCATGTGAACTTCAATTGAACCCCTTAGCTAGAGATGGATTACGCATGAACTAGGCTATTAACAGGAAAAGAATGTCAACATTGGGATGAAACAAGGGTAAACCATTTGGTTGACTGATTCGACCTACTAAAACTCATTCTTATACAGGTAAAAACGATTATTAACATATTGTTTTAACCTATAATATTTAATCAAACAGACCTAGAAAAATCCAATTGCAAGAGTTCGCTATCTATTTATATCTATGTTTATGTTTTTATCGGGTTGTTTGACCGTCGGCAGTCTTCAGAAGGTCACCTCGGTGGTTAATTAGATGGCGTCTGGACTAAAATACATACGAAATACGGATACATATTATGATCGAGTTTATGCATCGTAAATTGTTTATTTTAGACTTTTTTTTAACATGAATGCCCCTTTAAAGACGTCGTTATACATTACAATTTTTTGATTTTGCATATAAACAAAAGTAAAACCGATTAGTATCGTAAAGGAAACGAAATTCTCATTTCAAAAGGTTCATCCATAGCTTGTCCGTATGTTATGTTCATTAGATATTTAGAATTGGCTAATTTTGATTTTGTCTCAGATAAATTTCTATTTAGGCCTATTTGCAGATTGGGCAAAAACTGTAAACTTATAGATAAAGATATTGGATTCTGGCCCCGTTTTGTGTAATTTCTTTCAAATTTTAGTTTGTGTTGTTTGTTTATAGGCAAACACTCTGTGTTTTGGTTAGATATATTTCTATTTGTATCCATCTGATGAGTTAAGACTTTTTCAACTAACTTTTATAGTTAAACTTTGTTCTTATGTTGTACTGTTACACCAATGTCACATGTTGGGGGAGGGTTGGCGCCTTCAAACTAGTTTAATCCCGCTACATTCTGTATGTTCCTGTCCCAAGTCAGGAGCCTGTAATTCAGTGGTTGTCGTGTGTTGCTGTGTATCATATTTGTTTTTCGTTCATTATTTTGTACATAAATTAGGCCGTTAGTTTTCTCGTTTGAATTGTTTTACATTTGTCACTTCGGGGCCTTTTATAGCTGACTATGCGGTATGGGTTTTGCTCGTTGTTAATGTCCGTACGGTGACCTATAGTTGTTGATTTATGTGTCATTTGGTCTCTTGTGGAGAGTTGTCCCATTTGCAATCATAACACATGTTCTTATTTCTATATATAGATAATATAGATAATACTAATATTTTCTCACGGTTCGAAAGTCAAGCGGGAAAATATGGTCCAATCAGAGGGGTTGATTTAGATCCGGGTATGTAGGCATGTTCGATTTGTTTGTCACTTTCTAGCCGCCGTTCGCACAGGCGAGACTTAAAAACTTAAGTCATATATATATATATCTATGTATTGTATTTCTTTTCATTGCAATTTTGTTTTTGTTTTTATGTCATCTCATTCGTTATAGAAGGTGAGGTCCGAACACCATTTTCCTGAGGTAGGCTTGTGCATTGTCATCGGATACAGGTTTCCACTTAACATTTTTGTTTTTTCCTGGACAGCCTCGACTATCAGTGAGGAAAAATATTTTCGAAAGTTTTTGTGCGTTCTTTAAAGAGAAAGAATGTGCTACTATAATGTACAGAAGCATATAATTACGACATGCTTGTTATTTGCTGTTATAAACAATATAGTATGTGTTATGATATAACATCTAGCGTCCATCAAATACGGCGGGCTGTCGGCAAATTGATATTTGCGTGTGTGTTGTTTGTTTATAGGAATAGATAGAATAGATAATACACGATGTTATGATGAAGATTTAAACATCACAATGTCTGATATTGCTATTGAGACGCCAGGACGAAAAAGCGTTATTATATATTAAGTTATGTCACGCAAAAATAGAATAACGTTGCTTATCAAAGAACTGAATAGTAATATCGAGTTTATAAATAATAATTGAAATATATTTTACCGCTGTATCATTTGGGATATTGTATTGTTTACTCCGAAGAGACAAATATTCAAATTCTATTATAAAAAATAAATAAATGTCGTATTCTACTGCTCACAAATGTAGCTGATATATCTTCTAGACAAAACACAATCATTAAAACACTTTATAGAAAACCAAAGATTGAGTAACACTAAACCCCATAAAAACACCGACTGAATTTAATTGCTGCAGATGGATAAACAGATATATCAAAAATAAAGTTTTTTTTAAGCTCAAAATTTGAATCTTTACAATGAAACAGATCTGCCTTGGATCGCAACATTCGCCCTTTCGGAAACCAAAAACCAAGACTTTTATAATCTTATGAGTCTCGCATTGTTAACGATTGATATGCCTTTGCTTCTGTAATCTCTTTTAATTCTATATTATTTTAAAATTTTGTATATTGCCAAACTCACATGTACTTATTCATTTGTAAATTGTGATATTTATCTTATTACTTTGAATGACACGTTATTAAACAACAAAAGTGTGCATAGCTGTTACTTACGACCACAAGCAAACTGACTTAGTCCTACCCATTCACCATCCCCGTTACACATTGCACGTGGATGTCCGCCATTTTGTCTGTACCCTTTAGTACACTCGTATGTCACCTGTCGTCCGGCTGGATACAAACTAGATTCGTCATAGCCATCATGCAATGCATTCACTATTTTTGGTGGTTCCTGGCAAGTGACTAAAACAAAGAAGGTGCAGTACACTTGAACACTATAAAATAGAAATTCAAAAGAGATGGGGCTAAAAATTCGTCTTAGACATTGTTACTATTCTTAAAAAAAATATTACAATTTCCTTGAATATATGTGTTTCTCCTATTTATTTCTGGTGATTGTATCGAGGACATAATGGAAACTTCGATTAGTTAGTTGTGTTATCTGCTTATTTCAGTCCGAAATGTTGTGGATTGTCAAAATACATCAGCACAGCAGGTTTAAGGGACACATATACACACACAGAAGAACAGTATATATTAATCTCTTGGGAAAACTGTATTCATTCTGTTTTATTGTTAAACTGTCATCAGTATTCCTAGGTGATAGGCGTTTTAATATATATATGTTAGTGGCAATAAGTGAAATTAGACATTAAGCTAAAATCCTAGGCAATAAGCTAACGCCTAGGAATTAAGTTATTGCCTGAAATTTTCAGGCATTAAGCTTATTTCCTTAAATCTGATGATGATTATTCAACCTATTGCCGAACATAATTTTAGGCAATAAGTGAACTCTGGAATTTATGTATATTCGGTGATTTATTCTTGATATAAAGTAGTTTCTTAATTATATTCCTAATATTACTTTTCATTCATTTGACAAATCTTCAAATTTTAGTATTTTTCATATTCAAAACAGAATTAACTCGTCCTTTCTTGTGGTATTACAAAAAATAAAAAAGATTTAAAAAAAGTGATTGTATCCAATAAAAATATGGGGGAGATTCTATATATTAATTATAATAATTATTTGAAAATGTTTATACTTCACTAGTCGAGCTGGTTTGAACTGGTCAAAAGTAGACAAAATTAAGATATGAATTTTTGCTCACACCATTTTCCAATTTTCTTATTGGATAAGTAAATTTTCTTTGTTTAAAGTTTTGTTAAATACCCCCAGGCCATCTTGTCTTTTTCACTTCTTTATCTGGATTAAACTTTTGGAATCATCAGAAAAGAAGGCAACAAAAGATTACTACAAATTAAAAAGGTATGACATTTTTACCATTGGAGGTTTTGAGCGGTTGATAACTAAAGTCAACGAGAATGATGAGGGAAATTTTAAAATGTATGTCTTCATAGAGGAACTCTATGGTATTTTGGAAAAGGCACATAAAGAAACAGATCATGGCGGCAGAGACCGCATGATTAAACAACTGAATAATGGATATGCTAATATTTCCCGTGATGCTATTGAACTATTTCTTTCACTTTGTGAAAATTGTTATATGAAAAAAAATACATATATAGGGAAAGGAGTGGTAGTGAAGCCCATTTTATCTAAAGACTTTAACAGTAGAGGACAAGTTGATTTGATGGATTTTCAATCAAACCCAGATGGAAACTATAAATTTTTTATGGTGTTCCAAGAAGATCACCTTACAAAATTTTGTAACATTAAAGCTCTTACGTCAAAATGTGCCTCAGAGGTGGCATTTATTCTAATTGATATTTTTACAATATTTGGTGCGTCCCATATACTGCAAAGTGACAATGGTCGAGAATTCACAGCTTTAGTCATATCCGTTATCGTTCATGGGACGCCGAGACATCCCCAATCACAAGGTAGCATTGAGCGATCGAATGGAGATATCCATGACATGCTAACTGCATGGATGAGGGACAATGAATCAACAAAGAGGTCAATTGGCATCAAGTTCGTCCAGATTCAAAAGAATCCAGCTCTAAACAAGGCATTGGACGATCACCCTATGAAGCATTGTTTTGTAAATGTGCAACTATTGGATTAACATCAGAAACCAAAATTCTGTAAGAAATATTGGTGACCTTAGAAAAGGAGGAGGACTTACTGAAGCTCAAGAAGGATTCTTTAAATCACCAACTTGTAACTGAAAATACTACAGAAAACATTGTGAATGCCTCTGATATACCAGAATCAAGTTCAGAACCGAATGTGGAACCTTCTACTTCAATCACTGATGAAACGCAAAAGGTAAGTTGTAAAAAGTACTAACTAAAGAAATATTTAAAAACAAAAAAAATTAAAACGACTCTTGAATCTTGGAGGTAGCTTTAACTAAAGTATTAAAGTACTTCCATGTAATGTATAATGGATAAAACACGGGAATCTTACAAGGAGCTTTAGAACAAAATATCTGCATCCTTTTGTCATTTCGGGACTTTAATAGCTTACTATGAGATAAAAGTTTTCGTTGAAGGCTGTATGGTGACCTACAGGTCTTAACTTATATACCATTCTGCCTCTGGACAGTTGTATCATTCGCAAGCATACCACATCTTCGTATTTTTATATTGAGTGTAAGTGGAACGATCTTTATGAACACAAACGTCATTATCACAAAATTGTAACTAAATTTGAAAAATAGTTTTATTTTAGTCCAGCTTTATAAATATTAATAATTACCCCAAATTAAATGTTTTTAACCTTATTATTTATTTAAACTGTTTTTCAGGATGTCTTAAAAAGCTATGTATGTGAAAAAGATACATCGGAAGCTCATATGTGTAGTAAATGTGAGAAACACATTCATGTTATACGTGGAACTACTGTTAGTGAAGAGGTATGGTTCAAAGATGTTATGTCCAAATTGTACGATTGATACCAACAGAGTTCGCCATCGTTCTAGAGCTATAGACAGTCAACTGAAGCAGGCAAACACTATGATAGCCAGGAGCAAAAAAGAACTAGGGACACCAGAAGTTGGTCAAACAGTGGCCGTACCAATACCTATGTTTGATCGAGGGAAGCGACAGTAGAAAGTTACTCGACCGAGTCATTGAGGTAAGATATTTTATCAAAAGTTTGACTGCATCATTTAATATGTCATGTATATTGAATACAAAACAGAAAAAAACAGTAGAAGTAAATATGTTTATGTTAATAGAGACGAATTTAGGAAGGGGGTATGGAGCCCAGGCCTCCCCTATGGAGCAACATAAATGATAAATGCGAAGACTGTATAGATATCATTCAAAACATTGACTTGCCAGGCCCCTCCCCCTCTTAATAAAAAATCCAGGATCTGCACCTGGGGAAAATAAGATACGGATCAATGCCACAAAGACAGATCAAAATCACCATATGCAACACGGATTCATTTTGTATTTCATTGAAAATAATTGTAAATAACTAATTATTCCTACTCTAACAAATATTATTTTATCGATATTTTAATGAAAATACTCAAACTGCCTTCATAAGAATTTCATCCGTTTATTTTTTTCAGGTCAATGGTAAGGGCAATGCTGTTGTAGCTACAAGATTTGGACAACTCCTAGGAACATTTGGATCAAATGAGATGGGCATCTGTAAGCAAAATTTAATTCTAGAAGAGGAAATCAATTGTGAAACAACTTTAAGTGTTCGTGAGGCAGCAACCCATCAGTCATTATCCGGAGGTCAAGGATTTTTCAAATGTGCATGTAAATCCAAATGTTTAAGTAACCGGTGCAAATGCAAGAAAAACGGGAGACAGTGCAATAGTCGGTACCACAGTTCCACAACTTGTGATAACACATGATTTTAACACAATTTTTTTTATCAAGTTTTCATATTTAAAGGTATTATTTGATGAGTTTTAATATAAATAACATATTTTATTAGTGATTTTATTTCCGGTAGATGACATTTTAAACTTCAGTTCTCATAATGTTATTATGTAACAAATGTATTTTCTATTTAAATGAATAAATGTCTTTTATTTACTCGCATTTATATTTTAGGCATTAAGCTTAATGCCTGCACACATTTTTTCAGGATTTAAGCTTAAATCCTAGGATTTAAGACTAATGCCTAACATCATTTAGGTAATAGACTTACTGCCTAGGCGTTAGCTTATTGCCTGGGATTTAAGCTTAATGCCTAATTTCACTTATTGCCGCTAACATAAATATATATAAATATTACCAGCTTAATAATTTTATCCAGGTCACTCAATCTTGTAATTTCTTTGTTGTTTTTTTTAATTTTTTTTCATTTCTGAAAAACTTTCCTACAAGGTCACAGCTGTCTCCTTTTATTTGTTGATTATTATTTAAAAATAAGTTTCATTCTTTCTTTACAAAAATCGTTCCTATTGCTAATGCTACATTGTCCCGTTTCAGAGTTATTCCTTTCTGTTCATCAAATTAAATCTTATACATAATCATTTTGTTTGAAAATATGTTAGTGTTATTTAAGCATACATGTATTTGTAAACAATGTAAGTCATTCTATATCGATTATTGCCTAAATAAGCATTTCCCAATTTCAAATTTAGTCTGATAATTTTTTCTACCAGTTAAGTATTTCCATGTCACGCAATGTCAGAATAGGAAAACAAAGGATTGATTTTTGGGCTGCAGTCTTTTTGAGCCAATTGTTATTTTAAAGATTTGTCATTCGCGACAATTTTTATTTTTTATCAACTGCGCCATATCACGGAATTCATTTGCAACAAATTACTGTGATCACCTGATAGATATCAGTCTTCTGGCAAATTATGGTACATTAAATACAATACATTATGGAATAACATACAGTTATTTATCAGTATTGAGGAATAAAGCCCTTAATTTTCCCGAGACACTGACTATTTCCCGACGCCCCGCGGAAGGAAATAGTTTGTGTCGAGGGAGAAATAAAATGGCTATATCCCGAAATAACTGTTTTATTATACTGAACCATTTAAGAACAAATCTTAATTATATTCAAAGAGATATATAACGATATCACTTTTCAGCTGTGGCGTGTAAATCTCTGGGGTCGGTTTCACAAAAATACTTACGATTAAGATTGATCGTAAGTCATGAACAACTCAGTGTACTTACGATCAATCTTAGTCGTAAGTTTTTTTGTGAAACCGACTCCTGATATCGAAGTTACTGAACGTTAAAACTATAGAAACACCCATAGAATAAAAAGGTTGGGGAAAACGTTTGCTTCCAGTGAACTGTTGTCCCTAGGGGACATAGTCATTTTATCCGAATTTGATTTTGTATAGAAAATACATACTAAGGTATAATAAATGTGACCATTGTTGCATACAGATATTAGAGACATATAAGGTGGTTTTGAACAGTAAAAGACTATGTATGTATATATATATTAGCAGTGCATAACTCTTTAGATTAGATCTCTGTCATATCTATGCATGAGGTTAACTTACAGAAGTAAAGCGTAAAATAGTTCGAATGGTCTGTAAAATAAAATGCAACATAAATGATATCCGAGAGACCTTGCAAGATGATTTTTTCGAAGATGTTCAATACTGATGTCAGAATGATAGCTTGAAAGGACTGTTCGAAATGAGTTCGACAACTAATGTACAGAGAAATATATCTAATAATACAATAGACAAAGAAAAATTAAACACATTAACTAATTATATATGATAATAAGTTAACTAATCGCTTTATCTTATCTGTTCAATGTCTAAAGAAATAAAAGAACATGTTTTCAGTTGAAAACCTTACAATGACATTTTTTTTTCTAAGCGGAATCTATCCACACATACCAGTTTCACAACTGGGTTCCTGTCCATCCCATGTACCATTGGCTAAACATGTCCTCATTCTCCTTCCAGTCAAGAAATATCCTTCATTGCACTGGTATTCCATCTCATCTCCAAAGCTATTTTTAAAGGGTTCTTTTACTCTTCCGTTATCAATTGATCTAGGTCGAGGGCATCCTGGACCTGATAGAAATACTCAAGTTTAATAATGCACAATTATACATGTATGTTATATCAGTATATAAGACATAACAGTTTAAACAAAAAGGATGTGTTGTAAATAGGATCTTCTTTTCTTACATTCAAATCTGACACATTGAAAATAAAGTATTCGTTTGATTTTGAAACAACCAACAATCAATCAGTCTTAAGAAGCTAATATGTTTGTACGAGTAAAAAGTTAAGCAACAAAAATACCGAATTCCAAGGAAAATGCAAAACGGAAAGTCCCGTAACAATTGCCAAAATCAAAAGCTCAAACACATAAAACGAATGGAAAACTACTGTCATATTCCTGACTTGGTACAGGCATTTTCTTACGTAGAAAATGGTGGATTAAACCTGGTTTTAAAGCTAGCTAAACCTCTCACTTGTATGATAGTCGCATAAAATTCCATTATATTGACACTAATGTGTGAACAAAACAAACAGACATAATAGTTAAAAATGTCAAAAATAGGGGTACAGCAGTGAACATTATGTTATAATCTCAATCATTATAAAAACAAACAAATATGTCAACAAAGAAAAACAAAAAGGCATATAAACAAAACACATACGCAACATTCAATCACACGAATACAAAAAATGACAACAGCACAACAATACAATGGCGGGATGTACAAGTACCGAGCCACGTCTAAAGGATATTACCAAATAATGGACCAAACAGTAGACGTTAATAATTTACAAAGACAAATAAAAGAACACTATAACACGATATTTAGATGATAAACAAAGTCAGTACCTAGAATCTCTACATCAAGTCCATCATATATTATTTGTGAAGTTCATACGGAATATTTATCAACAAGGTCTTGGTATCTTCCGATGAACTTTTTTAGAAAAAGGACGAGACGTCCCTTGACATAACCCTGGTTCATCAACTTTTTGCTCAGACACTGGTGTCGTTTTACAAAGTTTGAGTAGCAGCTGCAAGCTCTTGAATACCGAATGAGTTGGGGAATGTACATCCCATATGCAGGTGAAGTTGGTATATTGCTACTAAAGTAATCCCCTTCATTCTTATGTTTCCAATATGAAGTGCATTTAAATAAAGGACGCAGGCCCACAATGTCCCTACTAAAGTCAAAGAAGGCAATCAAGAATTGTATACATTAGATTAACTTCAAGCAGAGTTATTCGGAAGTGGATTCTTAAAAACTTCCCTTATTTCTTGAACATATTTCATCACAATCAGTGAACTTTTCAGCAATGTTTCCACTATTTTGAATTAACAGATTGCATCTTCCAAAGAAACAGCATTTAATACGTATATCAATTTTCTGATAAATCCTGCCTTTTTAAGTATCATAAATATTCCAAAAACAAATACACCAAAGTGGACATTTTCAAAATTCTGGACTTTTTAATCAACAGCAAATTGTCTTAGTTGAATTGATTAGTGATTAGTGATTTACAAGAAAATTTTCTAGCAAAATCCATTTTTTTCTTCATCTTTGATATAAAAATGATGTCCTTTCACCAATTAGTTCTTACTTCAGTGACTGATAACATCTCATATATCCCAGTCAACTTGAAAGTATGGGAACTAGGATGTGTAGTTCTAATTAAAACTTACTTCAAAACGACGATTGAAGTCATCATAAAAATACAATTCTACGGTCGTAATTACCTATTAGTTCTATCATAGCTTCACACGTCCCATTAATGACTTATTGCCGGTTTTATAATTTTGCTTGCCACCATTGAATGTGACTTAAAAATTAGAATTAATGACAGATGGTACATGTATAACAGGAGACGCCTATTCTGTCGGAGCACCTACATGCGGTTCCGACTGTTGTGTAAACAATATTTTATTTGGAAACAAATACATAAATACGTACATCAATACAATACATGGATTGGAAAACAAGTGACAAGTCACTTATACAAATTCCTCTCCAATTGAATGGCAAAATTAATTACAATGAACAGAAAAAAGTACAATCACATAATAGACATAACATAAGAAAAAGAAAAGAAAGTAATGGAAATTAACATCTAATGATCGAAGATACTTATTTTTAACATTGGGTGACATGTTGTTTAGCCTTCAAGAATTATTTTGAGAATCTCTTAGTTTTCAATATTATAGTCTTGTACAATAAGAAAGTTGATTTTATTGTCTATATCCGTTATGTTCGGATCACCACAGAGTAACTTATCTATGTTAAGTGTACCAACTAGATTAACAAAAAGAACTTCACGAGTTCGATGAAAAATAGGACAATTTAGAAGGAAGTGTTCAGAGGTTTCTATCTGTTTACATTTACAAAAAGGGTCTGATTCCAAAAGATTACTACTCTCGGTACGGATTCGGGCATGATATATCTGACCTAGTCTACTGCCTGCATAGTAATATGGCTTAAGAAAGGTTTTAAGGGGAGCGATAGAACCAGCATTTTTTATAACTTGGGGAAGGCTATTCCAAAGTCGAACTGTTGATGGAAGGAAACTATTTATATAATACACTATAAAAGTCAAAAAGTCTGAAAAGACCAATTTTTGTCTGAATTTGCATGAATTTTTACTAGACATTCTTTCTTTGTCTGAATTATTTTTAAAAATTCTTAACATATTATGAATTTGTCTAATAAGGTTCTTGATTTTTCGTGACAAGTGTCTTGACAGTATTAAAATTGTCTAAAAATTTCTCAACATTTTCTGTATCATCTGATAAGAGTCTTGATTAGTCTCGACCAATTATTGACTGTCTTAAATTTGTCTCGATCAGTCTTGACATATTTTTGACATTCTTAATAATGTCTGAATATGTCTTGACATATTCTTGACATTCTTAATAATGTCTGAATATGTCTCGACACATTCTTGACAGTCTTAAAGCTGTCTAAATATATCTCGACACATTCTCTTTTTCTGTTATATACTCATTTTTATTATCGCTTAACTAAACTTAGAAGAATCAAGGATTTGTATAGTAAGATACCCTTTGGGTGCACCTATGTGGAAAACCCCGAATGACCCCCCATGTAGTTTAATTTTGATTTATTTTTTATTTGATGTTTAATTAAATTGTTTTCACTTGGAATATATGTCGAAGTTACAGACAAACAGCATTTGAGATTTTTGCCGGTCAAAAAACTGCCAGTCAAATTTGCTTTACTAAAATGGGTGACTTGAGGCTGTTTTATAATGTGACCATGTGTCTCTTTTGAACACCACCATTCATCTTGTGCGTGTGTGTAGCTAAAAAGGGGGGAGGGACTTTCGTTTGGGACAAAGAATTTGTTCCCATCTTGATTCAAAAACTTATTCATTTTTTTTAGAACAACCAAAAACATTTTTTATTCAAAATTGAGTGTTGAATTTCATAAGTTTTTATCAAAACTAAATATTTGTTATACTTCCCTCCTGATTTTTTTCTCAAGAAATCATAGAACAAAACAAATGTTTAGATCTTAATTACGCGTGTCTGTTTGAGATCCATTTCATAAGACCATTGATTTCTAGAGAAATCATTGATGGGACCCTTTATAATCTTTGGGAAATTATCCAATTTGTTTTTATGATTAATTATTTCACTTCATAACTTTTTATGAAGAAAATCCATTTTGATTCAAATTTTTTCAATTAAAATGATGATTTTCATTTTCATCTATCAACAAACTTTTAAAAATTGTAGTGGCATGGTCAGTCAACTGATAAGTTGCATGGCTGATAACAGGTAAAGCAGTAATTTTCCATATGACAGTCGCGTGTACCCTGGGGTGTGTATAACTTATTTGGAATACCTTAATTATATGGGGAACATCCTGTCTACGTGTAATACTTTTAAATATATATTGCAACAGATGACATTACACAAATTTTCTTTTGTTAAATCAAGGATTTGTATAGTAAGACTATAATCCTTGGGAGAATTAGGATACAATGATACTTTGCTATTTATAAAAACCACATTTTGGTACAATAATTGTTTATTTACCCTATTAACATTGAATATTATGCATGTAGAATGAAATATGTCTACAGTATGATTGGTTTTAATCATTTAGCAATTATTTATAAGATTAAGGAATCAACATTTGTAATTATTTACAAACCCACATTTGAATTGATTTTTATAAACATACCCACATTTGTATTGTTAATACTTTAAATTTCATAGCCATATTTGTATTTATAAAAATATTTATATACCCAAATTTTCAATTATTTTACATGCCCAACTTTTGTTTTTGTTGTAACAAGTGTAACTGAAACAGCAGTATATTATATAAAGAGAAATAAAGATAAAGTTATATCATGTATATTGGTCATGATTTGTAAAACTCAGAACTGTCAAGTAAATTTAAGACACAATTCAAAATGTTCAGAATATGTCAAGCCATACTGAGAAAAAATAAGAATGTCGAGAATCTGTCGAGAAATTTCAAGACAGTATTCAAATGTCAAGAATTTGTCAAGAATTTGTCAAGAAATTTTAAGACCATATTCAGAATGTCGAGAATTTGTCGAGTAAATTTCATACAAATCTAATATAAATGAGAATTTGTCAAGAAAAATTAAGACACAAGTCATACATTTGGAGAATGTCGAGTAATTGATCATGCAAATCAAGACAAAAATTGGTCTTTTCAGACTTTTGGACTTTTGTAGTGATAAGTATTAGGGTACTGATGGGAAATTATTAGGGTAACGAGTTCTATACTGGTGTATGCTTCTAAACTGATATGGTAGAATATCGTTTATATGCCATTCACCATATTATAAAAAAAGTATAAGTTTATGCTTATCTCTTCGCTGTTGAAGAGTTTCCCACCCACACTCTGCCAAAAGTAAACGTATACTGGTGATTTTTGTTGCACCAATGACGATGCGTGCGGCATCGTAATTTATAAGTTCAAGTTTGGTTTTTACGTACTCGGGACAGTTATCCCAGACAACATCAACATATTCAAGTAATTGGCGTACGCGGCTAAATTATATATTTTCAAGAGATTTTCTGTCAAGCTTAATTTTTAGGCGACGCAGTAAGTTAAGTCGAGGTAATGTCTTTGCTGTAATTTTTTTCGATGTAATGATTCCATGTACCATCACTCAAGAAATTTAAGTGCTTATGAACTCTCTTTATAATGACGCCATTCATATTCAAAGGTGGATGATAATCTGGTTCGCTTTTCCGTGAGAATACAATGGATTCTGTCTTAGACGGATTAAAGTTTACTAACCATTTATCCGTCCAGCTTTTTATTTTACGCAAGTTGCTGTTTAAAGAAATCGACGAAACTAGTGGGTTATCTACAACAGCCTAAATGCATGTATCGTCCGCGAATAGTTCGATATTACAGCTTACTTAGTTTATAATATAACAGCAAGGACCCAAGAATTGAACCCTGTGGTACTCCAGCATTTACATCAGCCCAGGAAGATTCTACTCCATTTATTACAACCCTCTGTTTTCTGTTCGACAAGTAATCCTTAAGCCACAGGTGAAGGTCGCCAACAATGCCCATCTGTTGCAACTTATGGAGCAGTCCCTTATGCCACACACGGTCGAAGGCTTTACTTATATCGAAAAATATCAAACTTATATCTTTGCCTTCGTCTAGGGCTTTGCTAAGTACGTTTCAAATATATAATAGTTGATTTCCTGTCGAATCGTTAGGCATGAAACCAGACTGGTGCTCAGTAATCAAAACTCGTATGAAGTTAAATCAGTGCTTATATACACAACGCTCGAAAACTTTGCTCATCACTGAAAGAAGAGATATTGAACGATAAATACTAAGTATGCTTTTATCATCATTCTTGAAACAAGGAATTAAATTCGGTAGCTTCCATGCAGACGGGAACAATTTTGTTCTAAGGCTTAAATTAAAAATAGTTTTTAGTTTTTCGACGCTATCAATCAAATTATTTTTTTTCAAAATTTAACACTATAAGGTATGGGGAAAATCTGGATTCAGAAAATTTTTTTTTGTCAATTGCTTGACCACAATATTTTTTTCATCAAATTGGGGATCAGAATATTTTGTTTAGGAAAAAACAATAGCCCCCACACCCTTTGAAGTTAAATGGTTGTTCCCTAAATGCTTCGGCCTTTTGTGTATCGTTTACGGTGTTGTTAGAATTGATAGGCGGGATATTCATCTCTCGAGATTTTAGGTCGGGTTTGGTATGATAAATTCCACCAAACCTTGGTTGAAGACATGGTCGTTCTAAGCTTTCGATCAATTTGTCGTAGAATTTTTTCTTCTCATTACGTATTACATTTACAGTTTTGTTTCGAATTCTGCGAAATTGCATCCAGTTTTCGGGACGATTAGCCTTTTTAGCCTTTTTATAAATACGGTTTCGTTTTCTAATAGACCTGCGTATATAATTGTTCATCCACGGAGAATCGCTTTTCCTGACTGTAATAGTTTTATTTGGAATAGCTTTTGAAGCAAAAAAAAAAAGCGAATCGACATTGGTGCTAGATTCAATAAAATTGTTCCAGTTAACAACTGAAAGCATCCTACGAAAATGGTCGTAGTCGCCTCTGTCATATAACCATATCTTACATTTGAAACACTTACTTGACGGTTTGTGAAATTTTAATATACCATAAACAGGGGAGTGAAATCTGATATTGGCGGGAAGAAACGGTTGGCCCACATGGACCAAGTTGACTGCGTTCGAGTTGTTTCTTAAAACTAAATCGATAATAGATGCTGAATTTTCACAAAAATTGGTAGGTTCCTCTACAAAATGGGACATGCCATATATTGTGAAAATTTCCTTCATCTTGGATTTGCGTGGAATCATTTGGTCGTCATTAAAATTGCCTACAATTAAGATGGTCTCAATGCCAGTATCTGTAGCTAGATCAAAAGAATACTCCATAAGATTCAACAAATGTTGTGGTGAGTTGGGAAGCCTACAGTAAAGCAAAAAGGATCGATTTTGTTTCACCTTTAATTCTAGCCAAACACTTTCGACCCCACTAACTTCTAAGTCACATCTCCGTTTTGCAGAAAGATTACTTTTCACATAAACAGCCACCCCACCACCGATACGATAGACTCTGTCATGCCAGAACGGCTTTACAAAATTTTCTAACAGAACATCATTCTCGGGAACATCCGGCTTTAACCAAGTTTCCGTAAAGCAGAGTATATCCAAGTGCTGAAGTTCGACATTTATTAAATCTAGTTTAGGTTCTAAACTCTGAACATTTAAGTGCACAAATGATATAAGTTTTGAAAGACAAACCCTAAATTCATCAAGGGAGAGCTCTGATACGGACGACTCTGTGGATATATCGGGCGAAAATAGCAATGATGGACCAGGATTTTTTTTCTATGTCCCCAGACAAAAACAAGAGTAATATCAATATAACTAGCATGATATATAATACAATGTCTATTAATACATAATGTATGATACAACACTTTGGTAATAAGTCTAGTATCCAAACATGTTTGGCTTCCTTTTGACAGAATATCTCACTATTTACAAGATTAATAACTGTAACTGTAACTCTGGGATATTTCGAAAATTTTTCGTTGCCTTCAAAAATTTGGCACGTTTGTTGGTGTGCGTGAACCGGGTAATGATTTGCTTGTGGCCTTCTTTAGTTGGTAAACGATGGGATACGCTAATATCGTTACTTTGTAAATCATCTTCAAGTTTAGATGCTATATCGCACAGAATTTTTGTTGTGTCTTCACTCTGGGTATAAAGAACTCCGCTTATTCTAATACAACTCTTTCTGCTGTGCTGTTCTAAGTCGTCCACTTTTAAACTCAGTTTATTTACCTCGTTTATGGATTTTTTTCAGTTCAACATTTTTTAAGTTTTTCAATCTCAGTAACAAGAGGAACGGTTAAGCTATTGCAATACATCTGCAAGTCGGATTTAAATTCATTGCGCAGGTCGTCGAACATTATGGCCTTAACCGCTTGTGCTAGTCTCTTAGCATCGAAATCTGTAAAAATTGACTGGTTACTTTGTGTAGATGGGCTTGAAACTGGAGGTTGACTTTGGTAAGCCATAGTTACAGTTTTAAGTTCGTTATAAGTGATAAGTTTTTTGCTAGAAGATTTTACGCTGGAGCTTTGACTTTTACCCGGCGATGGTTCCGTCGAGTTTCTTTTGCGAATTTGACTTGAGACAGTTTTTGACATTTAATGCATACACATCATATAGGGATATTTCTCTTTATATTTCTGTATATCAGTTTATTCTGTGTATTCTGTAAGCGTTGTTATTGCTGACTGACCAATTGATATTTACTTGAGTAAACCAACAATCGTGAAAAAATAACGTCTGTCCATCTTGCGCATGCGTAAACTTCTTCCGACTGTTGTGACTTGCATATATCTGTCTATCTGTATAAGGGCTTGTGTTCTGTATTCAAACATTCAACTTTATTCCAAACCTCATTCAAATGTTCAACAAAACCATTACAATTGGCCGAATTCTTTTAAAGACCATTTTTTCTTAAATATGATAATTACTGAAAGACAGGTTAAAGTGAATCTGATTTAAACAGTATACTTTAATTTCGAAAAAATCTACCTTTAGAGAGAATGTTTCGAAGTGAACGTAGAGATAAAGAATATTAGAGCCTTTTCTGGGGAAATTCTAATTATAAATTGAAGGGATGAAAATCTCGATCGAGACAACAAATTTAACAATTGTTTACAAACTTTATACGACCATTATGTTTAATGGACCACAAAAGACTTCAACAAACAGAACACGCAACAACATTGCCAAGAAGCAATATCGCTTGAACAATCAGAAGTACCATCACATTAACAGGTGCAAAATGTAACTTCAGATTTACTCTCATAATTACACTTTATCAATTCTGCTAGATTCAAAAGTGGTGTATCAGTCTAATATTACCGATATAATCAATGATTAATATTTTATTCATCACATGTAAACGAAAATCTATCAAATTTATGGTATTAAAATATTAAACAACTCGTTATATTAAAGTGTGTCATTATCTTCACGATCATATGCATTATAGAAGAACATTATAATATAATGAGTGTGAGATATGATGAAGCATTAGTTACAAAACAGCTGTGATTAAATCAGGGAATCATCCATTAGAGCAACTACATAAATGATTAGGATACTAATGGTTTTCTTCAAAGGCTAAAACTAATTTTATTGTCACGACTTTGCTTCCATCGTTATGTGTTCACTTATTTGGTCAATTAAAACTTAATTTTTCAATTATATCAAATTGGGGAACAATTCTTACAATTTTTAAAAATTATATCATTGGGAGGAAAGTGACGCTCATTCTAAATTGATACATAAGGTTTTGCAATGTATTTCGTGAATTGTTTTCAATATATACATTTTATGGTTTTATGCAAACCATTCTTATGTCAAAATTTGTTCAGCTGTTTCTTTTGACAAGCGAAAATATAGGAATAAAGGATTAAAAATACATAATTATAATTTCGGTTAGCTTTTAAAATGTATAATGGTCATTTTATAAACCACACAAACAAATAAATAAAATGAATTAATTTAGAGAATTTTATATAGACTATGTGTAAACTATCACTTAGATAATTTTACAAAAAAATGTGTTGAGACAAACTTACTACTACACGTCATCTTAGGACCAACCCAGATGCCTGCACCTACACACCACGCCCTACTAATATCATTTTGATTGCCAGTGTTTCCTGTGTCACATGTATATTGTAACATGCTTCCAATATCGAAAGTAGTCTGATAGATTTCTCCATCATGATGAGCATGGCTGACAACAGGAGGCTTTCCACATTCTGCTTTTGCTAAAAAAAAAAGGGGGGAGAAACTTAAAATATTTTCAAGGTGAAGGGAAAAAACAAGTGTTCCGAAAAAAAATTTTGTTTCAATATTGTTAGGCCAAAATTAAAAAAAAATCCTTTTAACAAGAATGTGTCCATAGTACACGGATGCCCCACTCGCACTATAAGTTTCTATTTCAGTTGACCGTGAAATTGGGGTAAAAACTCTAATTTGCCATTAAGATTAGAAAGATCATATCATAGGGAACATGTGTACTAAGTTTCAAGTTGATTGATCTTCAACTTCATCAAAAACTACCTTGACCAAAAACTATAACCTGAAGCGGGACAGACGGACGGACGGACGGACGCACAGACCGAAAAACATAATGCCCCTAGGTGGAGCATAATAAAAAAAAATAATCGAACCTCCATCTCTGTTTCAAAAGATTGTTTCTTTCAACATATTGCTCTAAACGTTCATTATATACTGTTATCCTCAGTGTTTTTGTACTTTTACTTTACACATGTTGTGCCCTACTCGCTAAAACAAGTATTTACATAGAAACAAACTCCTACATGTATATTATAGAGTTATATTTCAGAAAATAATATATTAGTCTTTACTTAATTATTTGACATACCTTGAATAGACTGATTAATGTTTATTCTACATTCAGGGGGAGATAAGCTCCATTGTCCATCTCCTTGACATACCCTAACTCTCTGATGTTTCCCATGTATTTCATATCCTTCGTGACATTCGTATCTTGCTATAGCAGCGAACTTGTTATATGGTAGGACAGTAACTTCTCCGTACTGAATAGAACCTATAGGTTCGCATTTCATATCTATAAAATACAATGAAAAAATAACTGTGATGCGGTTTATGGTAATGACTCACAATAGTTTCTTTAAATTCCTTTAAAATAAGAACACAATAATTTACGTTGAATAACATTTTCCTCTCCAAAAACCTTTTTAAACATGATAAGTCTAAACAAATAAGCTGGCCTTTCGTGTCTCTAAGGTTTTTAATGTTTTGAATAAAAATACAAAACTGGTATGGACAAAGGTAAAGGTTGGAATGATAAACATTATACTACAAGTAAATCAAAAGGTAGAAAGAACTCTTCCCCCACCCCCTCCTTTTTTATCTCGAAAGTAACACCAAAAAACGCATAGATGTATAATGAGTGAAAAACTCGAAAATCACGTTGTGTTTTTTTTTATGTCATTTGATAACTGCCTCATTGACCTATAAATATCTAAACATCTAAATGCCTTTTGTTCACAGTCATATATTTAAATTGTTAAAAAGAGTGGTGGTAAAATGTACAGAGGCAACAATAAATTATATATATATTGAACTGTGACATACTTTTATTTATACAACTTAACCCACAATCTCCATCACATAAGCAGTCTTTTCTTTTACTTTTGCAGGCCTCTATAGCACAGGGCTTTTGGCACTTTCTGTTAACGTTATCTTTCCTTGGATCACATTTTGGCTGATTACAAGTTACCACTGAAAAAGAAAACAATAAATAAATGAAAAAAGTCACTTCTAACTTTTTATTATAATAATACAGATATATTTCCTATCAAAATTGACGATCAATGCAACTGTATTGTAGCAGCGACATGACGAATTATTAACTTTAACCAAATTCGCGTTATGGGCATCTGCTCTGATAGTTAGTTCACATGGGATAGCATAAGGCGGATCTGTGCTTAAGGTAATTTCGCAAAGAATGATGTTATGCGGATCTGTTCTGATGGTTAGTTCACGTCACTTCGCAAAGTATGGTGATATGCGGATCTGTTTTGATGGTAAGTTAGCAGAGGATTGCTCAGTCGAATATTTTCTGAATGTTATATCGTAGAGGATGGCGAATGATTATTTTTCAGAGGATAGCGAATGGTGGATCTGTTTGGTGGTCAGAGGGTAGAGGATGACGGTTGACTGAACTGTTCTATAGCCGTTACATTTTTGAATGATAAAGGTATGTTGTTGTTGTATCTGTATGGAGTGGTACTAATGATAGAGTTATGTAGAATTCATCATATCTTCTCCGTCGGTTGACAGAAACGGAATGATTTGATAGTTCGGGGTTTATGATATCCATGTCATACTGAGATGTGACCTTGACCTGGAAGGTTGTTGTTCAAGTGTCTGGATAGAACTGTCAACAGCGTTTTGGTGATTGAACTACAGAATGTGTATGCAAACCGAATAACCAGGATCGAGTAGTGCTGATTCTGAAGGTCCTTTGATGACTGCGGTTGCTTGGTAAAGGTTGTCTACACGTTTTTTTTTTCAGCAAATAGCTATTGTTGATGTTGGTACATCATGGCTTCAGTACTCATTTGTTGAAAATTGCAGTCTTTCTGCAAGTGATCAAGTCTAACATTGCAGCAAAGGTATAATGAATTGCCGTCAAAATCTGTAGCTGATAAAGTATGTTCTTGAATCTGAAAAAGCAGGTCTGTATTCAGAGTATGCGGTCTTGTTCCAGCTTGTGACCACTGCTAAGTTAGCTTAGGGTGTATTCCTCTATAACTCCAGTAGGTGGTATGGTTGGTCATACATGGAATAATGTAATGCAAAATTCTCTTCTGTGAATTGGCGTAGCGTATGATTAAATCATTAGTGTTGTTTGGTAATGAAATGATTACTTTTCGATACTAGAATTCTTGGATTCTTCCTTCGTTTTATAACATTGATTCTAAATGTAAAATGAATTTTAAACAAATCTATTCTGTGCGTTCTCCGTTTTGGTGTTACTTTATTACTTGAAAACACCTAACTGTACGACGTGAAAGATGGATAATATAGAATTGATTTCACATGTGAAATATCGGTTTTTATTTGACTGGAATATCATGGTATTTAATTGCAACCAATTAAATAACTTATTTTAAAGGAGCATTGGCCACAATTTAAACAAGAAATAACGTATGATTTTTTGTTTGTTTTAAACATCCACACAAGCGGAATATTGAAATACTATTTCGCTATAAGCAGCAAATTTGGTTCAATTCTGTTAAAACACGCTACAAAACATCGCTGATATATTTTTGTCTTTCAAAACAATAGTTTGACCTCATTTTAGTGCGTATACATGCCACCTTTAATTTGACCTTTAGTTGGAGATCTGTTGCAGATATGCTCTGCATGTTCAGGTATCAAAATTAAAAAGTGAAATTAGGGACCCTCCAGGAAGACCCATTTTGTTGACTGATTTAGCCCATATGAATCATTTTTCAACAGGTAAAGCGATGACATATTTTTTTTAAACATGACATGAAATCAGACAGACCTAGAATAAAAAAATGAACTATTATACAGACGACAGGTGACACTAGTGAAGCAGGATCTGCTTACCCTTCCGGAGCACATGAGATCACCCCTAGTTTTTGGTGGGGTTCGTGTTGCTTAGTCTTTTGTTTTCTATGTTGTGTTTTGTTTACTGTTGTTCGTTTTTTGGTATTTTTTCGGTTTTTGCTATGGCTTTGTCAGTTTGTTTTCGACTTATGAGTTTGAATATCCCTAAGGTATCTTTCGCCTCTCTTTTGTAAGTACTTGTCTGTTTAAATTCATATACAAAGGTAAAGACGATTATTGTGACAACAAAGCAAATGTTTTATATGGCAAAACACATTTAAAACTATCGACGTTCACTTTGAATTTTGGAAATTTAAAAAGGAAATAATATTACGTAATACTACTTATGGTATATATTCTTCTTACGTTCATGTGTAAATTATTTAAAGCCATGTAGGAAAAGTTATGATAAATGATTTATACTTTTTAGAACTTATAAGTAGGCAATGTAGTTGAAAAGTAACAAAATTAGTTAAATCTGACCAGATGTTGAGAAGAGGCCTATAAGACAATATTGTTTAGTATGTGTTGTTATCAGCTAATGTTATAATATTTATTAAAAAACCGGTTAGAATTTTTGTTCTGCTGTGTCATTGCTATCTACCTCAATATGTGCTTTTGTTAACAAAAAATGCCTTTAAACCACGTAATAAGGATAAAATTAGCCTGAAAATAGGTGACAATGATCATATTAAATTGTAAGTAAATTTTCTGCATTGTAGTATTAAAGGAACAACAAAGATCAGTATAACTGGTGTGCAGTTTTATTGAATTGTTCAGTTGGAAGTGTTAACAAATCAAAATGCTAACTCGGACAGGAAGAACTTGTCACGATAGTTCTATAAACAAAGTTTGTCATATTCTTGACAGAAAGCCCGGAAATGTAAACAAAAAAAGGAAAAAAGCACTTTATAAATTTCATGCGTCTTTTCTGGATTTTTCCATCATCAGGAACGCTCAAAGTCGCATGTTTGAAAGCCAAGGATGTATTAGAACCGAAACAGTTGAAGACCGATGTGACCAAAAAGGACCTCAAAATAATAGCCAAATCCGTCTAAAGTCAAATTTGCCTAAAGGAGTACTTTGGATAGTTTAACTTTACGTCTTTTGAGATCCTTTTTGAGAAAGCGAACCCTAATTAAAAGGCGATTCAAACGATAAAAACAAACCAGATTGGGATAAACGTTATGGCAAATGTTTTACTTTATAGGAAAACATTGTATTTTGTAAGTACGATTTTTTTTTAATAACATTTACAAATGAAAATACATTGTAGTAACAACAATTATAAAATGAACTTAGAGTTGTCTCATTGGCAATCTTACCTTATATTCTTATTTCTATGTTAAGTGAAAAAAAGCAACCAGGAAAATCAACCAAGAGGAACTAAAACAACCATATGTGTTGTTTTGATAATTAAGTCATGGAAGAATTACAGTAATGTTTATAACCTCTTTGGTTAAAGGGGTATAAGCTACTCTTCTATGATTTTTTTGTTACAAACATTAATAAAGCGGAATATAGTTTTAATATTTCGCAATAAGCAGTCAGTTTGCCCGGCTAAGTCTATACTTTTTGTCCTTTTTGGTTTTATCAGCTCTTCAATCTTTTAATAAGTTTTGGATTTTCAAATATATTTTTGCCTCGAGCATCACTAAAGAGACATTAATTGTCGAAATGCGCATCTCGTGCAGTAAAATTTGTACCGTTAATGCTATTACTACTAATGGGTCGATACCACTGCCAGTGGACTGTCAGTCCCCGAAGGCGAAGGTATCACCAGCCCAGTAGCCAGTACTTCGGTACGGACATTGCGTTATTAAAATTTGCTGTTACAAAATTTTTGAAATTAAGGAATGCATCTCCCCTGAAAAGCTTTGGTTCCTTGCCCGGCTCTGGCTATACTGTTTGTCCTTTTTGATTTTATCAGCTCTTCAATCTATAAATAAGTTTTGGATTTTCAAATATTTTGGCCGCGAGCATCACTGATGAGACGTTCATCGTCGAAATGTGCACCTGGTACCACAGGCACTTGTCCCCCCTATATACTTAAGTATATAGGTATTTTTTTTCAGAGACAAGTGCCTGTGTCTGGTGCAGTAAAATTGGTATCGTTAATGTTTTAACTTACATTTATAACGGATGTTTTATGTATATAAAACTTGTGTCTAATAGTCTGCGATCAAAAATTTAAAAAAAAAAAAAACGTACAAGAACATACATCTAAATGATCTAAAACCGATGGCCTATAAATTGTTGTTTTAAAATCATGATTTGTCTGTTCCGTAATACATATGTTTAAAGCAGGTTTTACGCATGTACAAATTGAGAAATCAACCGCCTTATATTCGTACGTGTTAGTTATTTCGTGAAAAAGGCTTTGCTATTTTACCATTGTATCTCCATTGTGTGTCTTATTCGAAACAATTTAAAAAAAAACTCTATATGATAAAGGGTGTTTTTTTCTTAATTTGTAGAGGGTTGCACGGAACCCTGCGCTTCGTTTGCTGTTGCTGCTGTAAGGGTAAAAGTGTAAAGTGAATGTAAAAAGTGAGTCCATTTATCAGAAAAATTCAGAATTTAAAAAAAGCAAACTTTTTCTTGAGATACTATTTATTGATCTTGAAGATTAGCTTCTGTTCAAGTTTTATAACAATCCATGAAGGTTTAAATATTTCTCATTTAAAACAATTTTAATCCAAGACTGTCCGTAAATGTTAACTGCTAAAAACTAAGTCCATCTACCAGTAAAATTATAAAACTGAAAATATTATGTTTTCAAAATTTTGCTTCAGACATTATTTCTTAATCATAAAGAAGTTTCTTCCTAATTTTGTAAAAATTCTTGGAAGGTTTGACAAAGTAATTGATGTGTAACAAACTTTAACCTCAAACTTTATCAACGTGTTAACTGCAAAAAACGAGGTCCTGTTATCAGTAAAATACGGAAAAATGAAAAAAAAATTATATTTTCATTATTTTGCTCTGGACACCGTCTTTTTGGTCATAAAAAATATCTTCTGTCCTAATTCCATGAAATTATCGAAATAGTTTGATGAAGTTAATGGTATCTTAAAAACTTGAACCACAGACTGCACCTAAATACTGACGGCGCCGGTGCCACCGACAAGAGAATCAAGGATCGCTATGTCTCCCTTTCGCGACATAAATGTCACAGACTTGACAAAATAGAAGACAGTTTATGTATGGTATAAAAAAATACAGCTAGTACAGTCTTGAAATAGCGGTCATGATACATATATTTGCCAATCTAAACGATATTCACTACTTAATTTACCATCTTCCTGTATATATTCCAAAACATATTGCATATTTTACTGTAACAAGGGTATCTGTCCTAAATAAATTAATCAAATTATACTTACCGGCCGTAAATATAAACAAAACACTAAGTAGAATAACATTCGGTTCCATCATTACAAATATTTGTTATTCTGAACGGCACATCTGCTGATAATTAAATCAAGCTTCTTTCTGCATTGTTATTTCAATGAAGAAGATTGACTGACAGATAAGTCCGCTATGAAATATGGTTTACCAATAAACTTCACCAATATATAGTTATTCTTTTATAGCAGTTCTGACCATGAGATAATAATGAGATTTGATCAAAATCATAGCAAGTTTTCATCAACACAATGACGTCTTTGATAATTCCAATATTGACAAATTTTGATTCTTTTTGTGTATTTTGTAATGACAATATGCGATAAGCGAATGTATTATTCATCTGTGTTTTATTCAGCAATCTACACGAAATGGAATTTTGACAACTGATATTATATGAGTGAATTTCATGAGAGGATATTTGTCAAACGTATTGATTTATTATGCAATGCAATATGCTTCAAACAAAAGTATTAATCAATTACCAAGGTCTTTGTTCCATCTTTTGTATCATAGGAGACTTCATCCTAGTTACTAAGTTGTTATTTGTGTTGTGTAAGGATACATGTGTATGGTTTTGGATTCGATGATATAATTTGATTGGTATGCTTGAAATAAACTGACGGGCAAATAATTGTATAATTTATTGTGATGTTGTTATAGTTGAAGTCTTTTTTAAACTGAGACATTTAACTTTTGCTAATAGCGAGTTGGGAAAAAATACACCGTAAGAAGGAACTAAAAGACAATCATTTTCCGAAAAAAAGAAATTAACAATCGGAAAGGAAAGATCTTCTCTTTTGTCAAAAATGTATCCTCTTGGCAAACAGAAAATCCAAAATCAAGAAATTGACAATTATTGCTGTTTGTATTAGATTCTTCTAAAGGTTTAAGACTTTTTAGAAATTATTTTTATAATCTCAAGCAAAACTATCTTCAAGGAAACGTTGAGTTCTATTTAAATGGAATTTAAAAGGATCTTTATTGATTGTTGCTATAAAATGTTAGTCATGATAATATACGAAGAAGTCTGCTATTAAAGTGGTGCAATCCATACCCATAGGAATACTTGCCGATAAACTAAATTGCAGAAACGTACAATATTTTTTCAAGATTAAGTCTAATATTTTGTCATGCCTTTTATAGCTGATTATACTGTATGGGTTTTGCTCATGGTTGAAGGCCATACGGTTACCTATAGATTCTAACATTCACGTTATTGGACTCTGTTAGCTAGAAGTCTCATATGCAATCATAACATATCTGAATTACAGGTGATGAAATTAAATCTGGTAGTTAGCATGTAGATAATGTTAGAATTAGTCAAATTTACTGATTGTTCAAGAATAGGACATTGAATCATCTCCTTTCTATATTATATTGCATATTCAGTTTCAGTTCAAGTAATATGCATCTTGTATTGAACCCATCAATTAATTTAGTTTTAGGGCACTCGGACTTAAACATAAGATTACAGTGATCAGGATAAAGAGATAAATCTATAATGGATTCATTGTTTAAGGTTGTTCAACATACACAAATATATACATGCTTTGTAGGTAGATGTCTTCGTTTTTGTTATTGGTGAATTTACTCTTGTGAATTGCTACCTATTTCTCTTTATCTGAGCCATCATTGTGCAAGTTAAAACGAAACAGCTCTTTTTTTTTGGTCAAAACGTTTTGTAAGATTTTGCATACAACTTTACCTAAAAATAGAAACATTAATTTTTGAACTGTATTTTGCATTTAAAATTTGAGCAAAAAAATTATCAAAATTATCAAAACAAGAAAGTAGTCTGTCACGGTATAGCCTTTTGCGCTGATCTGGCTTAAAGCTAAACATATCAATCAACAAATTCAAAACCTAACCATAAATTCTTTAAAAAAATCAACGTTGTTGCCAGATTAACTTCTGTTTAATGAAATAAAGATAACGGTATTGCTGTAAGGAGTATACATAATTCAAATTGGAACTCTATCTTAAAAATAAACAAAATTTTAAAGGCTGTACGGCTTCCTTTGAACTCCGCTTGATATTTGTCTAATTTGCAAACAAACCACGTTTCTTTATTTTATATCAATGTTAACGCTGTAAAATATTCTCATCTAAAACTACCTGGCCAATGGGAACAAAACTTCGCTACAATAATCCTTGGAATATCTTGTTTAAAAATGTGTTAGATCGTCTCGACTGCTAACCAACATGACCATAATTGCTAAAAATTGAACATGGGAATAAAATGCAATTTATTTAAATCTCTCCTTTCTAGGAAAGTTTTAAGGCATGGCAAGACCTAGATATATAAAAGTTATATGTAGTCTATGTTTCAGAAAATTAAAAACTTACCTGGCATTTGATGTGCATTTTTTTCCAGTCTGCAGATGACAGCAAAATAAACAAACACATGATTTTAACAATTTCGTTGCCTTTTTTTTAATTTATAATGGATAAAGACTATAAATAACAAAACTACCAACAAGACAAAATCTACATAAAAAAGACAAAATGGTCCACAGTTAATTTTAGATTTAAGTGTCCTTAAATGTTTTTCATGTTTTTTTTAGTTCTTGGCTATTATAATTTAGATAAATAATTATTCTGGAGTGCGTTTAGACAAAACCAAAACACTCTTTTCTCAAAAGGACTAAACACACCTTCCCGGCTTAGTTCGGATTATTAAATAAAGCAGAATTATAGTTTTTTATGAAGCGGCGTTTGAACTTGAAAGAAAGCTAGTTTATCATTTTCGGGCATTACAGGCATTAGTTTGGAAATTATGGAGACATGAGCGTAATTATGTTTTATGCATCTGCTAAAAGTCGAGAATTTTGATGGTTTTAAAAAGTAACGCTAAAAAAAGGTGGAAGTTTGGATGTGGAGTTATTGTTGGAGATATTTTTATAGTATACATGTATACACGTCATGGATATCCGTAAAGTCGAAGTTATTATATTTCTTTCGTGTGTCATGTCAATAAAATATAAAAAGGTAGCTGAAAACGTTTTTTTTGTGTGTTTACTATATGTAATAATACATTTGGGTGTTAAGATGTTTTGATGGCTGATGATATAACTAAAAATGTCTTTGTTCGCCGATTGGATGAATATGGCCTCAATGCAGTATATATTCAAAATAATAAAATATTGTTATCATAATAGCACGAAAACTTTTATTTTGTTAAATTTTTTTTCTTATATTGGTTATTCGAAGTTCCGCAGTCGTGCAGCAAAATTCATTAAGAACCCATCTTGAAATGAATGTTAACTTTGTTGTAAAATATTATACTATATGCTTATATGTATCTTTTATCTTTGTAGATTGTCCCTGACTGTAGAATTACAGCGGCATATGTGCAGATTGTTGACATTGCGTTTCGTTAATTTATTAGAATAAAATTTGCTGCACCTATTGGCGAGCTGATCCCTTATGCAGGTGCTTTTTATTTTCATTAAATATTCCAGGAAAACAGGTTTCCGGTTTTAATCAATAAATGCTTTATGTCCGTTTGAGTCTTCAACGAATAAGAACATAAGTATCGTTAGTTTTTGGAGGTATGAGTCAGAGAATAGGGTGTAAGCAGAAAGTAGATAATGTCTGTTAAACAATACACACAAAAAGAAATTGTGAAATACTTTAATAAATTGGTCCAAGAAATCGTTCAAAAAGCGCCATGTAAAGCCCGACAAATATAAGGAAATTGACAATACAAAGGGAGGCGAAAGATACCAAATGGAAATTCAAACTCATAAGTCGAAAATAAACTGATAATGTCATTACTTAAAAAGAAAAATACCAACAGATAAACAACAGTACACAAAACACAACATAGCAAAAACTGGGGTGATCTCAGACATGCACACAACTACAAGTTAATTAAAGAAAACATGGTATTAAACCATAAATGAGGGAGTAAAATGTTATAACTGATGTTAGTTTGATTATAGAAACAGATAAGTATAAAAGCAGTTGTGAGTTGTTATCTCACTAACCCAAACTCTAAAAAAAATGGGAGCATACACCCAAAGCACTGGAATACATTATATCGTGTCATGTGTATTGTTTTATCATATTTCATTGTGCTGCTGTGACAACTTACATGTAACTTATAATACACATTGTTTCCGAACTACTCCGACAAATTATGTTTTGACTCGTTAGAGATATTCCTTACAATATAAAAGAATATTTAACAATTTTCATAACATTTTCCATAATCGTTCTCAATTGATTACTGGTTGTGGTTAGGACAATAAAGTAGACCAGAGTTTGTTTTGCTAACACGTTTACTATCAAATATCTTTTTCGGGTTGTCATATTGACATGTTCCTGTGAATACATAATTTTGTTTCTATCCATAAGTATATAATATTGGTTAAATAATAAATGTTTAAAGCAGTGAGACATACTTCTTCGATACAAATGCAAGAACAAATTACTTTTGCAGTCTAAAGTTCTAATATTTATTGTACATGTATTACTAGTATTTACAATATTATCATTATTATTGATATTATGACTGTGGTATAAATAAATATAATGACAAGTGATGGCCATGATCTTCTCCCTTTACCACATATAACTGTGTTAATTTAAAACAACGGACATGGAAGTCACCGAGGATCATCATAGATCATCGACAAGTAAGGTATGATGGAAAGAAACAATCATAGTCAAGGGGAGACAAGTCATTGTCCTATACAAAAATCTTTTTCCAACTTACACTTATAAATATCAATGTACATAACGATATGTTGTTGCACATATATATTAACTGTCCATTTGTGATGTGAATCGTTAATAACTTTCTTTTAACCCACATGTGTATAATACTGCATTTGTAGCAACAATTCTATGTACAATTTCGAACTGGAACCTGTGTTTTAATTAGTATATAATGTTTTATTTAAAGATCATTCGAAGCATCAAATATGTCTTTCCAAAATAATTTTTGAACTTGACCTATGAATTGCACTTCAAAATAGAAATTTGAAAAATATTTATTTTTTCTGAAAAAGGAAATAGTTTACAAGTGTTGATTTATTTCTGTTAATATATTTAGTCCATATAAATACAAAACCTTTAACTTTTTGCATAGTGTTGTTCTGATAAAATTTCCCTGTTACTTTATCTGGTTTATTTACCCAAAATAGAGGAGGGAATACTAGTATTAAAAGGGTTGTAATTATTTTAACAAGATTCAGACTACTTATGACGTCTTTAAACTTAGGGTAAATAGGGGTCTAAATTTAAAACGATTTGACTTTTTAATACTGGGCCAAAATGTGGTTTATATCGTGCTCTTTTAAAAATATATTTAAAAGTAAGGGTCACGGAACTTTTTTTGAAGCTACAGATTCTGCGAAATCGTCATGTTTTGTAAAGATTATAC